CCAGGCAAACCACAAAGACACTGCTCTGTGCTCCAAGATGATTTGCGACTCCCTGACGCCTCCACGAGCATGCCCTTCTCATGGACCGAAACAACCACCTTGATCCTGCGCACCGATCACCGAGCACCAGCAGGCGATGATGATTTACCCACACAACAACAACCAACGGCGTCACGACCGCCGACGGCAGGAACAGAAGAACATCGTAAACAATGAGACTACCACTGGCAGATGTGACACATGACGACCAAGTGACAATTCCAGAGCACCAGCAAGCACTATACAATACACCAGGAAGAGCGAAGGAGCCGCTTTGACAAGCAAAAAAACCCTGTCATTCCACACACTTACCGACAACGGGTGCATCTCGCCAGCAGAAAACTTGTTGGCCTGTGTGGTACAGTTGTTGGATGGCCTGTTGTTGTCTAAGGAGGGCTCTCCTGAATCGAGCGTCTGCTTCAATAACTGACTGCTATTGCTGCTTGTTTCTGCAATGTCAGCTTCGAAAAGAAGGTAGGCTTGGGTCGCTTTTCGCAGAGGGCGTGGGCGCTGATTCACTGTTTCGGGTGCATGTCCAACACAATTGATGACATGTTTTTTGTGCGGCAAACAAGCGGATCGGAGCCACGTCAATTGTTTTATTTGGCTCTTTTCCTGGCCCGTGCAGCACTTTGGACCTCACCGTCCCTCTTCCAGGAGAGGGAGTTCATCCAGCTGTACTACCATTGCAGCCCAGAAATCACAAGGCTAGCACCACCCAGGCCCGAAACACAGAAGCACGCTTCCTCGTGGAAGCAACAACACTACAACAGCTAGAAGGCCACGACGCTCACGTCGACCAGTGCCAATACGGAGCAAAACTGCCAGACAACAGCGGTGACGAGGAATGCATCCGTAAGCCAACAAAACTGAGCTTAACCATGAACCACAAGCAGTTCAACTGCATCGAGTCTGCACGGACGGGCACTGCCACCTTCCCATTGAAGGAAGCTTGCCCCTGATTGGAAATCGTGCTGCATGAATGACACCTTTGTCTGGCACAAGAGTCCTCCAAGGAGAACAATCCGATGAGTTCGTACGAGCTCGAACGTGGCTGGACACGACACTTTTGAATACCAGACATCCTGCAGGTAGATGATTACGGGGATGGGCGTCCAAACAAACAGCTCAGATCTTGGGCAAGTGATCACGGCACAAAGCTGGAAATCTCACCCAATCAGGAACGACGGCACTATCCAAGCGCTGAACTACGTGATCCACAGTTAATGTCCAAGGCTTCAGTGCCACCCAATGCGCCACGGGCGCACAGCCCAGGATTCACTCCAAGTGAAGCCATGCAAGCGCTCACCGTACAAGAAAAATAAATGAAATATCGTCAATAACATGAAATTTTTGACATATTTTTCACATACGAATGGATGATGTGTCTGTACTTTTGATAGCAACAAAGTGTACAAGAAGAACAACGTGCCATTCCTGTCAAGAGGCCTGTGGCATTGCTAGAAAAGGGCTGGCAATGGTCCGAGCTACATGTCATGTGGCTCCAGACTGCAACAACAGCAGTTGACTCTTTTGGAACGACTGCGCCGGCATCAAACCGGCTCGTGCTGTGCCGAGTTTGTCTGATATCGTTGTGAAAATTGCTGACCGTATGCAGCAGCAAAGCAATGTTTTTTCAGCAGTGCTTTGCAGTTGACAATGAGTCCTCTTCAAGGGCTGCAATGAGACACAGACGTCACGCAGTTTTCCTCCAAACTCTTTACCAAACACACAAAGTCCCAATCGCACGCCGCTCTACAGGTCCTTGGCACTGAGCCTGACTCGTCGATTGTGGGCGATCATTTGTGCCTTCCCTCCACCACCACAAGAAAAATGCAGTTCATGTTTCCAACTGCAGACAACAAGGTGAGCGGGCACAAGGTTCCCTGCACGGCTATGCACAACAATCACTGATTCAGCTGCTGTATCGCAACATACAATAAGAATAAAAAACTCACTTCCAACACCGCATGGCACCAGGCATCCAGGGTGGGTTTCCAACTAATCAAGGAACAGGTTCCCTGAAACTCACGCACTCTGCACGCTCACTTCCATCACCAAGCCTGCCCTATTTCCACAAACAACAGACTGACTTGGAATTGCCTGGGAGGAAGCAGGATCAAATTTTTGTGTGCAGCAAAGAAAAAAATCTAAACGGAAAGGGGACACGCGCGCACCGACCCGTCTTGCACCTTGCGTTTTTCGGCGCAATCAACAAAGGCCAGCTGTTCGAGAAGCCTAGAAGGTCCCTGAAGGATCGGAATTCCCATTGAAAAAAAGGTCCCAACAATTTGCGTGCTCAATCAACATGCTCTTCAACCTCAAGGAAACATTCCACGTATGAGTGAGACGTGGACATTGAAGAACCCACTTTTGCGCAGCCTGCTGGGAACACTCCCGCGCAACAGGAACAGACAGACATGGAAGGTGGCCTCCGCCTTGGCGGCCTTCGCATCTGGACGCTTGTTTTTTTGCCCTGCTACTGGACCCAATTGAAAATCTGACCTATCGATGGGAGGTAGACCATCAAGTGCACGAGCTTAGAAATAGGACTCAACAGCACAGTCCCGTAAACTGCCGATGTGGTTTTTTCAGACCTGCTGTCGCTGTGGTTTGGGGCTGCGGCTGCTTCTGCAGCTGCCGTTGTCGTTTCGCGCAACCTGCCTTGGCTCTTTCTTTTCCTTTTTTCTTTTGCCATCACTTACACCAGCCTTCCATCAACAAATAAAGTCTGGTCCACTGGCCACGACGGGACAGAGTCCACGGGCAAGTGCTAGCTCCTATATTCTTTTGCAATTTTCCTCAACCTGGTCAGCGCACGATAGAATTTCATTCTTTTTCTTCCATCCGTTCCTCTTCATGGAATATATCTTGTGCCCACCAGTCTTCTTCATCGGCTTTCTCGTTGCGTTCTTCTTCCACTTCTTCTTCATGGAAGGTGTCGTGCTTGAAGCCTTCGGTGGGGTAATTCAGATCCTTGTTGTTTGACTTATGGTCGCCACCGGAGATCCTCATGAAAATCTGGCTGACTTTGTCACAGTCAAAATCATCGCCGTACATACGCTTCAGCTGAGGTGCCAACAACCAAGCAAAGGAGGTATGGTCCCGCCGGAATCGGCTTGCAGCTCTTCATGTTTGTTTCGCTGGAATTTATCAAGAAACTCTAAACAGCGATTGGGATCGCAATCATCTCTTCGTACTGAGACAGTTGATGCAGCAGCTTCACAAGGGATTTGAACGGCTCTATATTTCCTTGTAATCCATGTTCGCATGCTTCCCACGCAGAGGCCTTCATAACAAGCAATGTACCCGCTATATCCGCATCACGTGACCTCCGCCTACACTAAAATGAAAACAACTCAAGCGGCCGACAGGTCTTCTGACTAAGACTTTCGGCCAAAGAAGCGGCTTTGGCGAATTCTGAATCTAAACCTCGGGGAGGTTCCTTCATCATTGGTTTTTATAGGCAAAGATGGGGCATCTCACCTTGTTTTTCCTGTTGCCTTTTTCTTTATTTGTCTTTTTGGGCCATGGTACACCGAACACGATCGTTAAAACGACGTTATTCTTAACTACAAGGCGGATTTCAAAGAAATCCTCAATTAAATAATTCATCCTTAATATAGTTACAAAAGAATAGATTAGGTTCCGTTTCCAATTTCGACTTAATGATGAGGCTCTAAAATCTTCCAAGTTAAACGCAAATAAAGACGTTCAATATTTCGAGCGAGTGGCGCGGAGGAAAAAATAATTCAAGACCCTAAAAATTATATGTACGATAACCACAAATATCGTTCCAATTCACCTATATATATCCAATTCATATCTAAAAAATCAAATAATTATACAAATCAATCAATAAAACCTATATTTCAATTGTAAAGTCATATTTATCTTAAAATTTTAATATTTTATTAAATCAATTAATTATTAATACTCCAAAATAATATATACGATTATCAATCAAACGACGATCACATTAAATTTAACCTTCCTTAATGCAACGAAAAATATTATTCCATATAAATAAATTAAATTAATATTATAAATAATTCCTCGTAATCCCAAAAAAAAAAATATTAAAATCCCAAAATAATCAATATTTCATAATAACCAATTAAATCAACCAAATTATAACGCAACGAAAAAAAAAAAAATAATTTCCAACAATATTTTCTATAATCATAAAAATTATATCAAAAATCAAAGAACATAAATAAAATTAATTTATATAATAAAATAATTTTAAATTTATCAATATTAAATAATTATTATATTAATCGCCCATACATAACAGAAAATAACAATCTAATAATAATTATTTTTCCATTACCATAAAATCATTCAATGCCCATACAAATTAATATTAATATATAAATCTTAATATTTATATAAATATTATAATTATTTATATTTCTAAAATCCATAAATATAGATTATATCTATAAAATCGAGAAAAAACATTATTAATCAAAATTTATAAATTACCTTTACTAATTTTTATTAACAATCAATATATTTTATTAATTTTTTAATAATCTATAATTCTTATAATCGGCATTAAAATATCAAATTATAATAAAATATTAATATCAACTAAAATTTATTAATATCCATAATTCAAAACAAAACAATAAAAACATGGGAAAAACAATCGCATCATTTGTAGTACTCACTCCAATGTGCCAAAAAAAGAAAACAATGTGTCTTATCTCATTCATTTATATCAATATACGTCCATTCCATTCTGGGATTCTAGAAAAATATGGATCACATTCCAATTTCCTTACGCCCCGTAGTGCACTTTACTCCAGCAAGTGACCTTGCAGCCCCTCCAACTCCCTGTGAAATCCTCCCTCAAACAAGGGCACCCCAACTTTCCTCAATCAGCTCACGTGATGAATTTTCAAAATACCCGCAACTCGGAAATCATTTCAAAACTCACTGAATGATTATCATTATTATTTTTTCATGTTCAATTCAACGTATCGTCCTGAAGAAAGAAGGACTTGCTTGCAGTGGTCAACCCGCCTATGGCATTCCTATTGCCAACATTCACCCAATAGAATGGAAAGTAACCCTTGATGAACATGTTTGCTGCTCAACTTGCGCCCCTCCTGGATGGATGACAAATCCTTGGCAGCTGTGCAAGTTCATCAGGTGGACGAAATGGCGATACTGATCTTGATAACACCAGCAATTCTTTCATCATGCTTGCATGTGAAGCAAGTCCAGAATGTGACTGGCCAAGAAACATGTGCCAGGAACGCCAGCTGTTGCCTTGGTTGAGAGGAAGGTTTCTCTGAGAACGTGAAGGTGCCAAGAAAGCACATTGGATCACGGATTGTGCTAAATTTGGTCCCCGGCTGCAGTTCTTCGATCGCTTTCAGAGCTTCATGCCGAGACTCTGCCTCAAGCCGTAACCTCAAAGCACAGGTTAGCCCATCATGGGATCTGTCAAAGTTCTTGCTTCTGCTGCTTGTGATCCAAACTCTTTTCAACCAAAGCTGCACACATCCCATTGGGCCCCCAGCTGATCCCATGCAAGTTGTGCGGCAGAACTCAGGAGCTGAGTGCTCTTAGATGCTTTGCTCAAGACTTGGGCACGTTGACGCCAGGCCTGGCAATCACTGGATGAACGCCGCGCAGAACGGAACACGAAATTGAAAGCTTTTGGATTAAGATGCGATTGCTTCGTACCTGCAGGCGCTTTGACCACAACGGCTGCCAAGACGCCCACTGCCCCTGCAGCAGGTTCAGCCAAAGACAAGTTGCCCCACCCACACCCAACCATCTCCATGAACTAGAGCGAGACAACACCAATCCCTGCTCCCACGCCTCCAGTTGCCTTTTCAAGCTGGAACCTTGTAAATCGGCCACCTGCATGACAAATAACGTGCTCAGCCATAAATTGTTGGCAGAAACTCAGGGTGGACAAAGGCAAAAACTGCGGGCCCACAAGAGACATTCTGGATGTGCCAACGAACGTCTTTCCTATCTTATCTGAAGGTGCGAAACATCACCATTCCGCAGCCTCTTTTTCCTGCCGGGCATGTTGCAATCCTGAACAGCAACCATGTTGTCGCACGTGTTTTGAAAGTGGACATTTCAAAAAGCCGAAGGTGGATGAGTATGCATTGCTATGACCTTTCTGTTGCGCTTCCATTCTGGGTCTCCAGCTGCTGACTGCCTGTTGCCATTCGGATCTTGCCTTGCTCGATTCATGTGCTGCGACAGTGGGCACGGGCTGAAGAGAGCACGTAAAGCAACAATTTGTCCAATGGTTTGTACAATGAACCAACTGCTCGCCGTACCCATTGATGCCTGGGCGTGGTCTTCTTCCAAACCTCAGCTGCTTCCGGGGAGAATATGAATTGGCTTTCACGGATGGAAGCAGTGGAACTTGGCAATTACCCGAAGGCCTTCCAATTTGAATAGTGACATCACTCGAACTGTTTCATGAAAGATAGTAATGTTTGGAGGGCCTGTTGCGCTTGCAAGATTTCTAGAAGAATGCAAACCCCACCAAAGACACCCAAACCGCTTGCAATAATTCCTTAGCCGCAAACATGATGCTGGAACAGGACCGGTTTCACCGAGCAACTTTGCAATTGACCTCGAAGGTCGTCTCGCTGCTCCCCCAAGTGCTGCACAGCGTGCTCTGCTGCTTGAGCCTCCAAACATGCTTTCTGCCGGAAGCTCCGAAGGTGACCGGTACACAACCAATAAAAACCTGGAGTCTGAGTCTTTGCAAAGCCGAACAACCCAACTCCGAACAGTATACATTTGTGATTCCAATGGCATGTGCGTTTGCTACCGCCGTCAAGCCTTCTGAAATGCCCACGCCCAGCCTGTTGCTCCAGCTGCTGTGGGTCCACAGAAGCGGCCTGCAATTCCTGGCAGTGAGCTGGTTGACAGCTTACCAGCATGAAGCACGTGAGGATGATTGAATCCTTCGCATCACATGAGGAACCATGTTGATCTTTGAAAATAGAAATGAATGCACCTTCCACCACCATCCCGATCTATTGAAAACAAACCCAACGACAGATCGTGTAGGGGCTGCTGCTTTTTCAAGAACAGCGCAACCGATATAGGTAGCTTTTTCAAAAGTATCAATGCCATGCACTTTCAAATGATATCAAATGCTTCGTGAGTGTTCAAAGCTATGTGGCTTTGTTGCGAAGATCTGCACTTTGGATTCTGCAACAGCCAAGCATGGCTTGCGGAGCCTCGCCACTGCTCTGATGAACAGCTTCGACCAACAGAATGGGTGGGCTTCAACCCGAGCTTGGAAGGAACCCCCTTCCGGTTCAGGTTCAAACCCACTGTTTCCCACGCTGGTGTCATTTCAGCCAAACTCCGTTGGCCCAGTATCTCTTGCGTCTTTTCTCAACCAGTGCATGGGTGTGCAAACCAATTGAAGACAATGAACCGGTAAACGCTATCGCTTCTCAACTTTGCCAACTGGCAATGATAAAGCGGGCTAAATTCATTTCTCCTGGTCTGCTGCTTCCAACCTGACAAGGAAGCGCCTGCAACCTGTGACAACAAGTGAAGGATGGAAGGCAGCAGCCATCAGCAGCCCTTGATTGGTGCGCAAACACAGGTGGCGTCAATCACACGGAACTTGGAGCAAAGAGCTGGCAAAGCCACCAGTTTACCATTTGGGACCACAAACAGCTGAAGCTGCGCAGTAATGACTTTGGACATAACGCACCACCTTGACCACCGTTTTTTGCAGAGTCTTGAGGACTTTATATCACAAAGCATTCTAACTTCGTCCTACTGCAATCGGAGGACCTACGGCAACAGCAACAAGAAGACTCACATATTTCATCACACGGTGCCGACCCACAGGAAAATACTTTTCACCAAAGAATTTATCATGAGCCACAAGCTCACAGAAGTTGAGAATGCACTGGCATGGTTAAGGGATTCTCTCCACTTGACCAAGGTTGACCCTTTCCGCTGCAAAAACCACCCTTGGATGGTCTTTCCCATTTGACACACCAAAACTCTCAATTCCTTTCAGGTTGTTGCTTCTAGAGCCTCCAAAACCTAGTGGCAGTGCCTTGAACTCACTTGATGAACTCTGCTCAGCGTCCTGCGTCAACTCCGCTGCTCTTGCTTTCAAACGGCCGGCCTCTGCCTGGGCGTTGGCACGTTGGATGATTTCTCTGAAGTTCCCGATTTGGCCACACCGACATGATCTTTCACTAGCTGACCGCGGTAGCAAAGCTGAACCTTTCACTCTCTAACAGCCCAAAGTTTCCACAGAAAAATCCTATCCTTCCACTTTCTGTCTGTATTTATTTCTTTCAAATGTCAGCTAGAATGCGCCATCTCTCTTTTTCCGCACCTTGAGGCGGTCCATCTCCCTGGCCTTGTCCGGCCTGGACACGCCAAAGGAAAGCAACGTAACTCTTCAAATGCAAATGTCTTGTTATTCCTCCTTTCAAATTCACTCTAATCCTCCTTTCAGAGATTTTCTCGAACGAGCTTGGACTCTAGCTGAAAGGACCAGAAGGACATTTTTTACATCTAACCCACCCCTGGGTGCCGCAACGCGTCTTGTCCCTCAGATTGGAGTTGTAAAGCCTCGGGTTTGCATTTCAGGCTGCAGCAGCGCTCTAAGTCCGCTTAGAACCACTTCAAAACACAGAAATGGGCCAAGCTCATAAGAACAAAACTTCCTGGAACACACAACATCAGCAAGCTTAGCCAGTAGGGGAGGGAATTCAAGTTTTCGGTGCTTGCTTTGGTCCCTCTCACTCTGACTCCCTCCCCCTTTCTTTCTTTCTTTCTTTTTTTCTCTCTCTCTCTCTCTCTTCTGTCACTTTTTCTTTCTTGCTAAAAAAACTTGTTCTCAAATCGAAGGAAACCGTTCTTGGGCCATCGGGCACGTTCGCGAAGCTTCGTCTGCTTCTGCTTGATGCCGTCCAACTCACTCGAGAGCTGATCCCGTGCGGCCTGCAACGCATGACGAGAATGGATACCAAAAATGTTGTTGCAAGAACGGTGCTACCTAGGCAAAAAAGACGGTCTTGAATTTCATAACACATGAAACAAGAATCCATCATTGTTTTCCTTGTTTTTTGTCTTTATTTGGTTGCTCAATTTGCGGTTCTCTACACCCGGTCATGTTACATCGTCAAAATGTTCTCAAATGGGTCAGCTTGCCTCGTTACTTGAACCTGAGATCTTCTTACTTGGATTCAAAAGAACATCTTTCACACCTGGCATGTCGCATCTTTCATCTTTCTCCCGCCCATTTGGACCTGCATGTCTGAGGATGCCATGGTGCGCTTGTGCTGCACCTTTGCTCAATGTCGGACCAACCGCAACTTGACAGGAAGCTGGAACCCCATCCGAATTCAAACACAACTGCTCGTTTTGATTCTAGCAGTAAGGCCAGGAGCCCCTAGTAGCGTCCTTGCTCCTAGTAGTACGGCCAGGAGCCCCTAGTAGCTTCTTGTTTCTAATCTGGATTTCCATGCAGTCTTGAAGCTCCAATTGAAATTGAGATGCCATCTGCTACTTACTACCTGAGAAACTGCAAAACGAAAAGGCCAGCGTTATTTTGTCACGAGCGGCGCGGCTGCGGTGAAACAAGGGTGCAAAGCAGCCAAGAGTTAGTAGTGAAAACTTCAGAAGTTGCATGAAAGCTGAGACGTCTCCTATGAGCCTATGGGTCTTCACTATGTGTATTGCTTCCATCTATAAGTTGCTCGAGGCCACAAGAAACGGAACACTTCATGCAGCTGCGTGTTTACATTTTACCAGTTGCTCAAATATGGATGCTGAAAGGCATTGCACTTCAAGTTCCCTCTCCAGTCTCATTAGTGCTTTGAACTTATATAGGTGTGTCGGAAGTATAGCACAATAGCATTTATACGGACCCAAGGTAACTACAATTCAGTTGCATGGTATAGCACTTCAATTTCCAGTTCCCCAAGCCGCTAGATAACCCTTGAGAAGCCATCCACATTCAGATGATGCAAAAGCAAAAAGTGCATTTCTTGCATCACCACCCGCTCCAAAATCACCAAAACATCACCTCCAAAACAACCTCCAAAACCTCCCATCCGTGCACCCTCCTCCCCCAGCATTTGCCGAGTTTACGTATGCCTTTCTCGGGCCACCCCCCCCCCAGACCCCCTACCTACTCACTTCGTTCGCCAAGCACAACTCAGCTGGCGCCTTCTACGAAGGCTGGCAGGGTGGCGACTCCTTGCAGTAACAATGTGGGTGAGGGCGCACGCGCGCGCGGACCCAGGGCAGCGGAAAACGGTCCATGCAAATAGGAAAAACACTGTAACTCCATCCAAACATCGACCTTGTTGTAGCGGAAATGGGTCTTTTTAGGAGGGGCGTCTTGTCCATGTACAGTCGCAATCTCTTGCCCAGCAAAAGGATAGTTTACACAGGATAGCTTACACAGAAAGACCGGATTGCAATCGAATATCCAATGATCCAGTGATGCTGCACTTCAAGTTCCCTCTCCAGTCTCATTGGTGCTTTGAACTTATATAGGTGTGTCGGAAGTATAGCACAATAGCATTTATACGGACCCAAGGTAAGGAGTCGCAATCTCTTGCCCAGCAAAAGGATAGTTTACACAGGACAGTTTACACAGAAAGACGGGATTGCGATCGAATATCTAATGATCCAATGATGTTGCACTTCAAGTTCCCCCTCCAGTCTCACTAGTGCTTTGAACGTATATAGGTGTGTCGGAAGTATAGCACAATAGCATTTGTACGGACCCAAGGCAACTACAATTCAGTTGCATGGTATAGCACTTCAATTTCCCTTTCCCCAAGCCGCTAGATAACCCTTGAGAAGCCATCCACATTCAGATGATGCAAAAGCAAAAAGTGCATTTCTTGCATCACCACCCGCTCCAAAATCACCAAAACATCACCTCCAAAACAACCTCCAAAACCTTTTCCATCGGTGCACCCTCCTCCCCCAGCATGTGCCGAGTTTATGTGTACCTTTCTCTGGCCACCCCCCCCAACCCCCTACCTACTCACTTCGTTCGCCAAGCACAACTCAGCTGGTGCCTTCTACGAAGGCTGGCTTTCGTAAACAAGCAAAAAGCTGAGGGCCACTCCTCCCGCTGCCGGCTGGAGATGTCAGCCTGACTATGCAGGTCAAGTTAAGCTCACCTCAAACGTGAGGAGGGAGGTGGCTTTTTCTACAGTGTTGGGACTGGTCATCTTTGCTTCATGTTTCAAAGGCCTGCACCATCCTGGAGTCTGTGAAGAGCACTAAGCCACGCCAAGCGAGAGATGTGTGTTTGGGAGATGGCTCAAAAAACATAAACCTTTGCACAGCGGCCAGTTCAAAAAGACTGACCAAAGCCAACACCTGCCGAAGCCACGCCTCGTAGCCGGCGATGCGGCTTCGCATCTCTTGGAGCACCTGGCAACTGGGAGTGAGCTATCAATAGGGAGATCCGTGTGAATCAGCGGCAGCCAAGGCGATTGCGGAGATTGTGCTTGTTGATTACTACATGCTGTCCTTCTTGATGGCCCATCTTCTTTTGAATCATTTGAAGAATGAACGGATGGGGGGTGTCAATGTCCTCTATGTCCATCAGCCGCCTTGTCGGCTGCCTCCATGGCCGTGTTAGCCGTGGCCTTGGACAGTTCAGGGCTGTGTTGGGAAAAGAAGTTCTCCTAGCTCTGTTTGGTTCCAAGTTTTCCCACGAGATTTTGAAGGCCCAGGTCACGTCTTGGGCTTCAATGGTGGAAAAAAACAGGTATCGCCATCGCCATCTGTCTGTGGCCGCCCACAACCTCCTCCTCTTGCGACTTGAGCAGGGAGCTTTGCTGCTCTTGCCTCGGAGCGGAGGCCATCGCTATTAGGTGCTCGGAACATCTTTCAGGTCTACTCATCAGCAAAGCATGATCCCCACCACTTGGGATTGTGACTCTCCCCTGGGCTCCATGCTCCGAGTGCCGGGCAGTGTACTCTGCCTGACAGTCTGGTGCAGTGCGAGATCTCACGAGGAATAGTTGAATGGATCCAAGATGATCCATTTTGGTTGGAAATCACCACTAATCTTTCATTTGGGTTCTTCTCTTTTTCATTGTCTTGCTGGGTAAACTTCATCTTGGCTGTGGGCACCGCTCGTTCAACGATGCGGGAGAACCATCCATCTTTTCTTCAGGAATCAAAAGGCACCTCCGTCTGCCGCATACACTGCAGCTGCTGGTCCATTTGCTGGTCCTGCAATGACCAACAGCGACTAAGGTTCACTTAAGTCCGCAACGATGAAGTCACCAGCTGAAACAAACAGCTAGCTGATCATAATGCATATTAATAATTTCTCAGATCGTCCCTCCTGTTTTCTAGTAACTGCACTTGAACTCCTTTCCGTGTTCCTCAATCTCAAGAGTTCAAGCTGGTCTGCTAGTGCCACCTGGGTTGATTCTGCCACCCAGATCCAGTCCTCCGCGCTATCAGTGGTCAATTCCATCTCAAGCACGTCGTGCCTCGGAAGCTACAAAGTTCGGAAGCCGCCACACAGAAAGGGAACGACCTCGAGATTTTCGGGATCACCGGGGAACCGGAACGTCACCGGGTGACTCTTTCCATCACTTGTTGTACACAAGCCTCGATGACGGATTGAAACTGAAACCAAAACAAGCCACCATTCTTCATTTGCCAGCGATTTGTAGCTCCCACCCAGACCTTTCTAACTGGTCGATTTCTTTTGATTCTTCGTACGTGGGATTTCTTCTTTCGACCTTCCCATTTCGCTCCTCAGCTGCCCGGCACAGCACTTTGAGCGGTCTCGCGCTGCCGCGCAGCATCGGTCAGCCTCGCTGCTGAGCGCTGAAAGACAAGAAGGTCTAAACGTCAAGAAGAACAACAGGAAAAGAGAACAAACAATAAGAAAGGACATGTTCTCCGTGCTCTCCTTCACTTCCAACCAGCTCAAGAACTTTTGAAGCTGTCCCTATTGAACAGGCTGCTGAAAAGCGATGTCTCGGATCTCTTGTCCACCAAGAGTTCTCTCATGAACTCCCTGGAGGTCCAGAGTTGTCCAGTCACTGCAAAACCTCTTGCTCTATTGAAATGAATCAACAAAGTCTTCCAGGCACGCTCTGCAAAGTCTTCCCCTCGAAAATGTCCAGGATTCCCAACGCTCGGCTCAGCTCCTCTCGCGCTGTTTGGAGCTTTGCCAAGGCCGCCTCAGGCGACATCACAGCTGCGCTTCAAGTACAGAGTCTCTTCCAAGTAGAATCTCTATAGCAAAGGCAAAGACGCTTAATTGAAAGGAAGGACAAAAAGAAAGGTCTAAAGGTCTAATGCAAAAACCAAGAGAAAAGAACGCCCAAAATCTACTCCAACCTCCCAGACCTTCCGAAGATCCCCTCGGACCACCGTCGGCCTCCAGGGGTTGATGCCATCCGCTTCCAGCGACCTCGGACGTGGAACTCGCCGCCAGAGCGGCCATGCTGCGTCTTTCAACGGACGAATGGCAGGAAATGTCATCAAGTGAATCAACTGATCGGCCAACAAAAGCTGTCCAAAAGCTCTGAGTGCATATTCGTGTAGCAGTGTAGCCCTCCTCATTGACTACTAGGAGCAAGAAGCTTTTAGTAACAAGTGCATCGCTACTAGTAACAAGGGCCTTACTAGGAGCAAGAAGCAACTAGTAACAAGAATAGTAACAAGAATATTCTAATTCTGCTTCTAAACTCAGGGTACTGAGAAACATTCAGTCTGGTTGATGTCTTTGTTCACTAAGATGCGTAAGAACAAAGCCCAAGACCGACCGACCTTCCAAACACTCTGAGTTCGGGCACCGATGAGCCCGTGGCCATCGGTAAGGGCCTGGTGATCACTCAGGTTCCGGAAACGTGACCAAAAAACCACGTGCTGAACGTTTAAGACATCAAAAGACTCTCAAGTCATTTACTTTTAATTCTAATAGCAAACATTGTTACTACTAGTAAGGCACCTGTTACTACTAGCGTGGCACCTGTTACTAGTAGCTAATCTAGTCAAGGATTTTTTTTCCGGACGTGTGCTATCTCTTTGACGTCTTTGGACCCAAGCGGAGAAACATCTCTATTCAAAGCACTTGGCGTAGTTGGGCATCATGTGATTGTAGACAACCACCGCAGCTGCTTTGTCTGGTCTGTATTTGTGGGTATTGCTGGAAAAGGTTTTCCATGCTCGGGCATTTGATGGGTACCTGGGTCCATTGTTCATGGCCAAGCGGGATGCCCATGCCCCGCGCCACCCCTGCTGAAGGCCGACACCCACCCAAATGTATTAACAAATCCATGGACGTTGGTCCGAAGAGAAAAAAAACCGTTGGCCAGTCGGTCAAAATGCTGTGGGCTCCCGCTGCTGTCGCAGCTCCAGCAAACGCTGCTGTGTCTCAATGACCTGGCTTGACCAAGGTCCATTAACCACCCACAAGCTGACAGCATATTCCATGAGCGAACCATATGTGTGAGGAGGCACCTGTCAATCTATTTGGGCTGCTCAAATCGCGGTTTCACAGCCGACATGATTTGTGACTTTTCTGTACCAACTCTAGTGACAGTGGAAACAGAAAAGTAAGAATTGTTTGCAGCTCGCCCAAACCCATGAGCACAAAAACATCAACAATCAGCGTGTCAGCACAATGGGGATCTGCACAAGCGGATCTTCCATTAGTCCCGCACGTTACGGAGAAAAAACTTCTTCCCAATCCAATCGGTTGCTATGCGAAAAACCCGGGAAGGTTTCTTGAGATCAGGAAGATTTGAAACTGGCTGAACGTGTCCTCCACGAATGAAATCATGAGCTTCGTCAGTCACTTGAGAATCAAGATTCGCTGTGGACTTTCACCTCAATCCCTGATGAATCTCCCGATTGCCTGGGAGCTTTCACCCAGCTCGGATTGGAGGCTGCGTCGCGTATGCCTCAGCTCTTTTCTCCCGATTTGCCGTTGGTCTCGGGTTGTTTTCTACTCTCGACCTCCATGAAGGTCAATGCTGACAGAATCCGTTTGGAGGCCTTTTGTAGCATCAAATTGCTCCATCACTGGATATCACTGAGCACCAGCACTCAAACATCTCCTGCAAGGACAACTCCAGTGCTGTGCGCTCCTGGAAAAACTTGGACAAACATGGTTGAGGGAAGAATGACAATGGACAGTGCAGTGACATTTTCTTTAGATATTCTGATGATCCTTGCAAGAACTTCGCCCTTACTTAATTAAGTAGGCGCCTACTCAATTAAGTAAGGAGGCAGTAGGGCCACGGGCAAACAAACAAACACAAAAACAAACATGGACGCTTAACCAGCAATCTGATGATCCAGTGCAATTGTTGCAAGTCGCTTGTCCAGTGCTCTTCTGGACCTCACCGAGGTGTCCTGAATACTGGTCTCCACGATGGCATCCATCTTGGAATCCAATTGGCTGGGCACCTGGGCTCGGTCTGACCTTGTGACACTGACCTTGGAGACAACCGTTAAAAGGACATGGATGAACACCACCCATTTTCTTGCTTCTTTTTGATGGTTGTGAGAGTAAATATACACTTTCTCCTTTTCACTTGATGTGGATTCGTTAAATCCCTGGCCGCATTCTCAACTACATGTCGGACTTGAGAGCAACAACTTAAAGCTATTAACGCAGTCTCAAAGCCAATCAAAGTGAGTCTACTATCTAGGTTGGAATAAACATCAGTAAAAGCCACAAAGTCATGGCCGTGAACCGGTGCGCACACCTGTAGCTGCAATTGCAGGAGCAGCTCGCCCGCCAACCACCGTGCGCGTGGTGGAGCGCCCTGGCAGGTGCAACCCGGTGTCGCATTCTCGGAACCGAAGGAACCGCATTACATTCAGGTCTCCTCTTGAGACATGTTTCAATGATCTGATTTCATGCTTGCACATGTCACATTGTCGTCTGGCCTTGGACTCCGATTCCAATCTTTTACCCTCCTGATTTTTAACCTTTCGAGGCTGATCTACTTGAAAGCCAAGCGGAGAACCTGTGCCACCGCCGGCAGGGCAGGCCGCAGCTGGGAGAGCCTCCGTCGGGACAGGAACTGGAGGGAAAGATCTTTTGGAGAACAAGTGGTATATAACTGGTCAAATGATCATGACATGAACAGCTTCGCTTGCAAGTGCCTTTGGTGGCTTGATGAAGCCAACTATGAAATGGAACCCCGAAACCAAATGCGCCTGACATGAAGCTTTCACCAACCAAACCCAGCCAGACTTCCCCACAAGGATCTCGTAACCTCTGCGCCAACCTGGAGGGGTCCGGCTTCATCCGCAGGAGGCACCACAAGCTGAAGGTTGCACCCGGCCACAAGGGACTCCCCTGCGGTGTCAAAAGACGAAAGAATGGCACCGCACTTGGTGAATGACACTTTGATGGCTTCAAAAGAGGTAGGTCTTCGCATCTCTTTAAGGCCTTATTAAGGGCTGCAACAAAAGACAACCAAATCATTTGACCAAACCAAGGGCTTTACCCGCAAAAACATGTTGAATGGATTCTCCAGCACACTGCCCTGGCCACCTCGTCAGGAAGCTGGCCCTGGTTCTGCTCCCAGGGTGCTTGTGCACAGGTCCTAGGATCAAAGCAACAGGGCAGAGTTGCAAGCTCTGTGAAGTGCAGGGGCGCGAAGAACTCACTGTTGGAGGCAATACTGCAATACACTTGACATCTGTTCTTTCTCACAGATTTTACATGTGGCGAGGGGTGCACTGACCTCGCTGAGCCTTGGTATGCCCAACCAGCGGAGTTCACGACCCATCCAGACTGATGTTGATCTATCTATCATGCAATGGAATCCTCGTTTTTTGCCGGGGACCTTCGTCTCCTCCCAACGGTAGCTCTCATTTTCCCCTCGGCTTTTTCGACCAACGGAGCCCCCCCTGGGCCGCCCGGACAGGATCCGTCCGAAGCGCTCGGCGTTTTGGCCTAAGCCTGACGGGTCCGGTGCTTCGGATCCTGTCCGCTCGATCGTTTCTGGAGGATGCGGCCAGATTCTATCCCCATCTAGTTAGATTCGCTTCAGGCTCCAATAAACGCAACACAAAACATTCCAAAGACCCCTGACCTATATGAAAATGCCACACCATCTGCTCTTCCTCTTCCTCCGGACTCGTGCCCTCGGCCTTGAACGAGGTTCCTCACCTCCACGTCTTCGGGCTCTTGGCTCTCCCACGAGCCCAAAGAAGCCATCTCCTGGCAAAGGCGCAGTGGGCTTCGGAGCTTTCCAATGTTTCATTTATCGAGACTTCCGGTGGTGAAAGGGAAGAGATGGGGCACTTGAGATCATCCGATCCAAGGCAAACACCCTTGTGCTTGTTCCTCTTCGTCTTCAGTTCCTGAGCACCGACCCGCCCCGGCCTCCGTCAGCTGCCGAAGTCCTTCGGCCGCCTGGGCCGCGTTGCGCTCGGCGCCCAGCTGGTCGTGGCACAAGGCGTTGGCCAAGAGCAGCCCTGGCGAACTGACACAACGAACGAGGCGTAGCATGGCGACATTTTTGCGACATTTGCCAAGCTGTTCTGGGAGGAACAGCAAAGCCCGTTCAGTGGAAGAGATGATTTTGTTCTTGGCTATTCGTGGCCTGCGCAAACCCTGGCGCCCTTCGAGGGGCACACGAAGAGCTGCGAGAGGAGGGCCAAGGCCTCCCAACGCGATTGGACGCATGCCATACGTGTAGGGCCAAGGAGTTGGGCTGACGGAGTGGGGTGCACCTGACCGTGTGAAGCCAGTGGGAGTCTCGATACTTTTTTAGGCCTCCGATGATCCGATCCACGGACTGCTGGCAGATGGCGGCTCATGGGAGACCTTTTTTGGAGAAGTCCGTTCGAGTATCCACTGAACAATAGCTGATAGCTACGCTAGAGCATGTCACATAGCAAATCATAGCCACATAGCTAGCCACGTAGCTATGCTTAGCTACACATAGCTACACATAGCTACGCTTAGCTAGGCTTAGCTACCCTTAGCTACTTGCCCCTTTGCTGAATGTCCCACCTCTGGGCGAGAGCTTTCGGCGAAGAAGACCTGTTGGACCTGCACACCCGCTGAGAGCATCTGATGATATGACTCCGCTGATGACTGGTCTGCTATTTAGCATTTGTTGATCAAAGATTTTCAGTTTCTGGAGCTTTTGATCTTCGGATCTTTTTCGCTTTTGGAACGTTGCCCATCCTGAACGTCCCAGGCGATCCACAGGAGCTTCGAGATGAAGTCAGCAAAACCTGGCATCCCCAGCCACTCCATCGAGACCACGGGAAGGGGACAGGCTTCGCGAGCGATCCAAGCACGGTTGGGCTGGAGAAGCTAAAGCCAACTTCAACAGAAACCCATTTGTTGTCCATGGTGCACAGCCTTAGAGCAAGACCAAATCAACTCCAGATGACTGAAGCCACATGTGGAATCCTCGTGATGCCTTTCCCAGGCTTTTGGGTGCTTTTGACACCCCCTTTCGCTTTTTCTCCGTCCGTCTCGCCTGGATGTCGGAGCAACTCCGTCCCCTCCTGCAAGGCCGAAACGCCTGGCCAGCGTAGCTAAGGGCCAAGCGACGTCTGAACACCTAGCCTATCAGCGTCGTGTGGATCTGTGTCGGCTGCCCTGCCGGTCTTTGGGCGGTTTCTCCTGTTCCTCTGTGGTCGTGGCTTCTTTTCGGTCGTTTGAGGGCCGTCGCTGCTGGTGGCCTTACTACTAGGAACAAAAAGCTACTAGGTTGGAGGCCATCGCTTAAGAGAGCCAAAAAGGCCGGGCTTTGGCCTCCTTTCTGCAGGAAGTCCGCCATCACCGCCGGGAAGTGCTCGCCCTCCACCTTGATCAGCGCATTCAACACGCCTGCGCAGCAAATCATGCGACCCTCGCTCTCGGCTCGAAGAGTGGCTAGGGACCAGGGGAAGCTCCGCACTGCTCGGAGAGCGAGTGTTTACCCGGTTTCTTGGAGCCTCGGTGACTACTTGTGATGCACACCGTTGTTCTTTTGTCCCGTTGCCTCGTGCCCGTTGGTCTGGGCCGGCAGAGGGGTCCTGGACAAACGTCGGCGAAGGAGGGAGAGATCTCTGTGCTCACTACGTAGGCAGCGAGGAAGGCAACGTGGCCCCGGAATCTCTTCCGACTGTGTGGTCTCTTAGATGTCTGGGCTTTCCTTCCCAAGAATTCAACAAGTTCCCGAAAGCACACATGACGATGTCACGTATTTACACTCAAATCATCCTTCTCAAACGAACGTTCGAGTCCTGGACATTTCAGCCTTTGCAGTTTTGATGAAATGGGCTGTGAAGTCAAAATCACTGGGAGGAAGGTTTGGACCTTTTCACCGGTTGCATTGCACCCTGACCGTCCTTCTTCCCTTTGCGGAAGATGTAGCGCAAGAGGACGCCAACGCCTTTCTCTTGCAGAAAAAACCTGAGCCGAGAGACAGGTGTTGAAACCATCGCGTTGGCCACGGTATCTTACTTTAAGTGCATGAATCGAGACGTTTGTATAAAAAGCTATTTTGCCAGCATGGAGAAGCCCAAGCATGCGATTGCAGCCAGCAGAGCCTTTCAGTGGCACGGTGTTGGAATTGTTTTGCAACAAACACCAACAATAGGTATGTTCCCTTTTGGTGTGATATGCTCTGGATGCCATGAGTACAGCCATCCTATCCCGTCAACCAAACCTATAAAAACCTATCCCACCAAGGACAACACAGCACTCAGCACCACAACACCGACTCCATGATCTCCAACTCACAAGCAAAAACGCCTGCAAATATCTGCACACATATAAGTGTACCTGAACAAACATGCGAACATCCACTGTGTTCACTCGACGCAGCAAATAAACAGCGAGTAACCAAAATGTCGACTGCCAAAAAACGGGAAAAGAACAACCTTCCAAATTCCATCCATGACCCAAACCTGGTCATTTGGCTCATCTCTACTTGAATTCGCCTCACTCTGCACCCAGTGGCTGTCGCGTGGTCTCGTTGCCCGAGCCCAGCGCGAAGCGAAGCATCTCCTCGGCCGCACCGTTTGGCCGCCCCGGCCCGCTTGGGGAACTTTCTGTAAAACATGTCTACTATCGCTCCAACCTAGTAGCGATGGCCTCCAACCTAATAGCTGCTAATCGCTTGCGATTCAATCATGTCTTTATTTTTCTTAGGAAGAACACAACTCAGATTCACTTGTGGAAGAAGAACTTTTCTTCAGCTTTGTTGAATTATATATCGCTTCGTGCGTGCGTTCGTGTGGTACTTTGGACAAGGACCTTCTTTTCGGAGAGTGACGTCTACGGCAGTTTACCAATGAGACTATGATGGATGCCATTCTTTATTTTGGCAGTCTTTGGTGGTTTCCCCGAGTCCCGTTTTGTGCTTGAATCGTGGAACCTCAATGACAAAAGTATGTCAAACAAAGGACTTGAAATGATGAACCATAAAGAAGTGTCATGAAGATCTACGGATTTTACGAGAGATTTTGGGGTAAACTAGTGGAGGTGGCAGCCCTTCTTGCCGTGAACAAGCACCTTGACGGATGAGTTGACAAACAGGGTTGACAAACACAGGGACTTTGATGAGCAACCAGAAGATTCATGGAACACGGTCAAAGAAGCTGTCATGATCCATGCGGATATCCATGGGGATGCCAAGAACATGTCAGCGTCTTCACCAAAAGCTGCGGAGGACTCCCCAAGCTTTTGCGGCCCTGATATAGAAGACTCATCTTCTTCCAATGTGCGAGTTCCTGATGCATCTACTAAGGGTGTTCTGTTGATGATTTCACAGAAATTGCCGGAACCTCCTTTTGAACCTGGTGCTCGGAAGAACCCTCCCACTCTGCCCAGCAATCTGGCGAAGACTTTTGTCTGGCATCTCCCTCTCGTTGAAAGTCATCGTCTTTCCCATATTGTTTCGTCAATGTCCCCAGTGCAATGAAACCCTTGCCCCTTGCAAGTTCCGAAGGCATTTTCCTTTCCCCACCACAAACTGCCAAACACTACTTCCGAGCCACTACCACCGCCACTTCTGCTTCTCCCTGCACCTGGCGACCAAGTGATGAGTCGGAAAGTGGTGGAATGCCGACAGCCGTCGATGTGAGCACAGATCTTGGGCAAACTCTTCAGGCTTCCAGAAGAACTTGGACCAACAAAAATTCAACAACTAGCTTGTCGCACTGCCAAGACAAGTTTCATCCAGCAGCTGAACAATGAGCTCAGTTTCGTCTCAGTAAATTTTGCAAAACAATCTGTATATGAATTGGCGACAGCTAATCAAGGCCAAAGGTTTGCACACAAGCCCTGCCTCCGGCTCTGCCTCTTTCAACGCACCTGGCCATGGTTCGGGTGATTGATGTGGGGGGCCAGAAGGGGCTTGCAGATTGGAAACAAACGGACCTAAACAGTCCAGACAGGCGTGTCCAGATCGAACCTTCCAAAGACTTCTATTTACTACGGGGAACAAACTCTCATGCACTGGCTTGGGGAATCTCCCAATTAAGGTATGGCTCACCACGAGTTTTGGTCAGCTCCAAAGGGGTCTTGTCCTGTTTGGCTTCCGTGCCAATTCCAAATCAACCTGTCTACCCGATTCTACCCGTCTGAGCCCTATGCACATTGAAAAACAGAACTCCAAGTTCATGCTTCTCAAAGATCAGACAACCTGTTTCTGTTCTAACTCTCCAGGAGGTCTGGTACCCAGTGCTCCCCAGGTTTTTTCGTTCGATCCACGCGAAGAACCGATCCCAACGGCCGATTGTCGCCCTGTCGCTCCGTCCGTCCAGTGACCCGAAACGCTGGCGCCGTGACGCGGGCGGCGTCGCCACGGTGCCTTCCTCCAGGAGACGAAGGCTTGTTCGCAGCACTGCAGGGTGTGACAAGCGATAGGAGTCCTGGTCAAGTCGACGAGTGAAGCCACTTCAGTTCGATGTAGGCATCAAAGGGGCGACCAAGTGCAGATCCAAATAGCAAGTTCTATGGAAGTCTTTTTCAGAAAGGGCCTCTCGCACATCATCTGAGAGTTCTTGACATGCTTCTTTGGGGCACCACCCATTCTTGAAGGAACGCAGAAAGCTTGCGACAAGGGACGTCACTCTTCTCTTTTCGTCACCTGCATCGAGATCATCCCACTCCCATGGGGCTGAATCTGCTCGCTGCCATGTCTTTATTGCGCTCAAGATCCCCCAAGCACCTGAGATGGCAGTCCATGGGACAAAACAAAACACACCGATCCAAAGACTCATTCAGCTCGTCTCAGCCCGTCGTCCTTCTCCCACTTGGGATCCGTCAACTTCCCACACTGCCGGGCAAAAGCCACTCGCTGGGTCTTGAAGAGGTAACCTCAGTGGAGCCGGGTTTGCCTCAGTGGGTAGTCCTTAGTAAATAGCTAGTAGTAACAAGGGCATCGCTACTAGAAACAAGTGCATTACTACTAATAGCAAATAGCTACTAGTAGTAGTAGCGATGCCCTTGTTACAAGTAGCTTCTTGGTTAGTAGTTGGGTCAGAGTCCTAAAGACCAGTTCTTGGAAGGGCCCAATGCTAAGCGGGAGTGGAGCCAATTCGAGCGAGATAGAAAGGAACATAGAGGCACTAGGAATAACGGTGTTCATGCCCTTCTGTCTGGGCTTCTTTCTGTGTCTGCACGTGAGTGGTTGACGAAATCAAGCCTTGATGAGGTCTGCCGGACTAAGTCAACTTCACCTCGCACTCCCCAAAACCGGTAGGCCAATGTAGCAATAAACCCAGGCAATCGATGGCAACACCAGGGTTTAACCAATGTTACACCATAAACATGGGTCTAACATGCGGCACCCTCAGTTTCCGAAGAATTCGCGGATCATTTCTCTTTCATCTTTTTCACTTCCCAACCGTTTAACATGTATTTGTCTTTCTATCGCTGACCTGGAGGTGAACCCCACTGAAGAACAGCACCGAACCCGTCAAAGCCGAGTGAAGAATGGTTGCCCAGGGGCGGAAGGCGACCACAGCCGCTGGCGGGAGCTCCAGGAATTTGAAGAGCGTCTGAGCCTTCCTTTGGATCGACGCACCAATCAAAAGTGCCGATGACACGTGAAAGGTGCCTATAACATCCTGTAACATGTCTTTACATGGATTGTGTGCTTCTCTAGTGGTAAGATGTATTGAGCCTTCTGACAATAGGAATTCCTCACCAGAGCTGTGCCCAACCTTCTGTGAACTCGTGCACTAGCGTATGAAGGGAATGTAAGTAGAAGGAGAACAAAGGATTGAACATCAAACAAATTGAAGGTGTTGACAAACCATTGATGGTTTTCTGCATGTGTGATTTACTCTACCTCGGGAGTGAGAACGACCCCAACAAACACGGAGGGGCTGTTGTCACCGCTACCTCATGCTATGCTCTTTTCAGGGCCTGAAATCGTTTCAACAAGAACCGCGTGATTCATTTGCAGCTGACCGATGGACCCCGAAAACGCCAACTCCGTACAGGTTACCACTGTTGACGCACCTGACTACAGGTGTGCACCCGTTTAGGAACCCTGTCGTTGGTTCACATCTAGTTTTTCTGCAGACCTATCTCATATCCTCATATCTTGCCTCATCTCACTGCGCCTCATCAATTGTCATAGCGCCTTTCTTCGTGCAACTGCACCCTATCTAGGTTGAATCCTTCTCCGCACCCCCCCCAGTTGGATGGCCATCACAAGATCAGAACACCCAACTCATCCACCTAGTAGCTTCTTGCTAGCAGCGATGCCCTTTGTTGCTAGTAGCTTCTTGCTCCTAGTCCAACCTGTTGCGGTGCCGGGTGGCTCATGGACAGCCACCTCGCTCCGCAGAAGGTACCGCAGGATCCGCTCAAAGGCAGGCTTGCGTTCGGCCACCACCTGTTGGCCGCGAAAAAAGGCTTGTTTCACCATCAGACCGAAGCCTCTTTGGCAGGCCACAAACGCTACTAGGTTGGAGGCCATCGCTACTTCAGGTTTGTTTTTGGAGGACTCGCTTGTTGATCTCGTTTTTGGGGCTCCGTACACTGGCGTCGGTGGAGGCCATGAACTTCTTCTCTGGCAAGGGTGGCCTTAGGGCGCATTTGGCCAGGTGTGAGAGCTCGAGAATGTTGCATCATACTGGGAGCTCGCACTCATATTTATTGGGTCTGAGAGCTTTTCGCCAAGGCCACACGGGACACAGCAGTTTATAGCACAGCTGGAATGCTGTCAGTGTGAGTTGTGCAACTAGGATTGACAAAGCACAGCTTCAAGCCAGCTTGGGCCTAAGTCCTACAAGCAATTGAGGCACGCAAGAAGGGGCTACAGGGCACAAGCCCAAGTGAAGCTCCGCTGGAAGCGCCACTTCTGCACACTTCTTCAGCTCAAAAGCACATTTGCCATGACAGGCGATCAACATGATTGTGCAGCAGCCCTTGACACCAGTTTTTGGGTCTCGCAGTTTACGCTACTCCAGGACAAAATCTGTGAAACCACGTTCGTGCCAGTACAATCTTTATGGCTCCTCCTCGTAGGTTGTGCCCTAACCTCCCCCAATTCCTCTTAAAACCCAACAAATGGGATCACAGGATCTTTTCACAAAATCTTCCATTTTTCACCCAGGCATGCAATTTTCACCAGGCTGGATGTGCAAGGGGCCCCGAAGGGCCCTTCAACCCCTCGAAACCGACCCTGGCTGCGAGACCTCCAGCTTCCGAGAGCACTCCTTCAACCGCTGACCCGCGCTCTCGCCACACCTTACCGGCACCAGCCCAAGACCCAAAATCGAGTGGTTTTAAGGGTTGATTAAAAAGGTGTGGCAAAGATGAACTGCATCCTCTACCAAGAACACATTTAGTCTTTTGGACTCGATTTGGGCCAGATTGACCTTCACAAGGTCCAGCTCTCAAAGGTGGAGATCAAGCTCCCAACCCCAAAGGCCCGTGAATGGACCACAAACACTCTGAAAAACGACGCTCGGACGCACTGGAACCGAACGAGCCGCATCCCAGGTTCCACTTCTCGGAGGTCACTGTGCAGCTGGTTGAAGTCATCGAACCTCTTCTCCAGCGTGAACCTCGACACGTCGGCAGAGCTCGCCGCACTTCTTCTTTGTGAACCCCGCAGCGAAGGAATATATTCTAGGGGGGTTTGGGGCTGCTGTAGACGTCGAGATGATCTTGTGAGTCAAAGGTCGACTCGAAGGTAGCCGTTGTTCTTGTCACTTCAGGTCTCGCCATGAAAAAAACGAGGCCAAGCCCGAAACGTTTCCCGCTTGCCACCAGCACGCGCGGCACTCACTTGTGGGTATATGTGTATTGGCCTGATCGCATATAGAGCATAGATCGCGTGCATACCGATGCGCACGTCTATATGCTCCTTTCTGAAGCAAACGAATCGAGAGGCGAGAACCGAGGATGCTCCCGTGGATGCTCCGAGGCACTTGCGACCGAAGTCGTCCACCTCCAAGAGGTAGACGGACCAGGACTTCAGCATGCCTCGGAGTGCAGCGCTTAGGGACGTTGAGCAATCGTTCTATAGACAATCAAAAACGGAGTTAGGGGGACCTTATGGCGTAGAATTGCAGCTATGGATCTGCGATTGTGGAGATTAGGGAGTCCACATATACCTCAAGTACATCCAAGATGGAATAACATCCTCAACAAGGGCAAGGAAGTGCGAAGAGCTGGAGTGGTTCCTTCCCACAAGTAGGGATGTCCTACAACTCACAACCGAACATCATCCAATCCCCTGCGTTTGTCAGGTTCATCTGGCAGTCTTTTCTTCACCATTATCGCCACCCTTCCGGTTTGCGGTATTGCTTGCCTTGCAGGTCCAAAGCTACACTCTTCGATTCATCCAAAAGAAGGTAGGGCAACATCCCTATGTGTGTTTGGCCGGTGACCTGACCTAAAATGTCACCGTCTTGACCCATATCCATTGGACGCAAAGAAGGTTGCGCTTCAGAGACGTTCTTCTTCCAAAACACGTTCACCAAGTCAGTACTCCAGTTGGACATAAAGTGGTGAATAACCCCAAGGGGGGATCTGGCTGGAGTACCTCCACTGCTGGCCAAGCTGCTACTTCTCTCTTCAGTGGAGGTTATTTGTATCCTCGGTCGATTCTTGGCACCGCCGCCCACGTGGCAAGGAACGAAGATCTTCCTAGGCAAGCCTTGACTCGAAAGGGTGGATTCCCTCACGCTCTGAACTCAAAAACCCACTACGAATGGACCAAGACTCGTGGTCTGGTTTTGTTCTTCTATTCACACATATGCATATTATGAGTATGTCCACCTATGTCCTCACGCTGTCTCTTCTTTTCGTCACCGGATCGGTCTCCTTTCACAAGGCGACCAGCTACATGTTGCAATGTTTACTTACTTACTTACTTACTTACTGTTACTTAGCTAATTAATTGGGTTAGTTATATAATTAGTTAGTTGGTTAGTTAGTCGGTCAGTTAGTTGGTTAGTTGCTTACTTGCTTACTTCCCTTCTTGGATCGCCAGGCCGCTGCAGTGGTGATGGCACCTCCGCCGCAATGCCCGGCGCCATGGTCGTGGGCGCCAACTGCAGGTGTGTGAACTGGGAGGGTTGGTTTTCATGTCTTGGTGACGGACTTTTGGCAAACAGTGAGTGCTTGCTGAATGTGCCCACACTTCCGGCAAAGGGTTGGTTTGGCAGGTTTGGTTCGCAAGTGAGTCCAGGCGATTCCAGTGGAGACTGTGCCAGAGCTTCGGATGAGTTGTTTGGCACTCAGTGCCAGGTGCTTCAGCACCTGGGAGTGGATGATTGGTGTGGTGAAGCAGTGAAGCCCCAGCTTGGTGGGCACCGCTGGATCCTCCGGATGTTTGTTCCGTGTTTCACCTGCTGAACTGGCAAAGTGATAAGGTGGGAGATCACCCTGGCAATCCAAATGCTTGGTGAAGCTTCGACGTGGACACACACACACACACACACAAACACACTACAATCGCTCCGTTCACGGAAGGTGTGATGCGAAATGCAACCCTGTCATCAGGTTCCTGGGGTGAGCTAACTGCCATCTACAGCTGAAGTATTGGTAGTTGGTGATGGAGACACAAAGGTCTTCCACCAAGGGTTCTGCTCTCATTCTGTGTACTTGAGCCAAAGCTATCCATGCCTCCATGCCTCATTCACTGGGCTTGGATCCAGATTTCTTCAAAAAAGGTGGTGAACAAGTGAACAAGCCGCAATGCCAATGCATCGGTTCAGAACAGGACATCTATTCAACTAACCCCTTAACCATTTGTCTTCGTCAAAGCCACAGTCCACAGTTGTCTCCGTGAACACCCCGCAGTCCAACCATCAGAACTTCGAAGCCTGATCCACGGCTGTGACGCTTTGGGCACGTTTTTTTTGCTTTGGGAAAGCTCCAAACGCAGCTTGAGATGCCCTCCAAACCACCCCCCCTGACGCACCAGACATTGACGCACTCCACGGTCCAAGACCGGACGACAGGTGTCGCACCAAGCCGCCGAAGTGCGAAAAAGCCTGGACTCCGGAAGTGCGACCCAATCCAAGGGCGACACGGTCCAATACCGGATCCAATTGAGTGTCCTGAAGTACCTTCCAACACCCCTCCCTTGGCTTTTCCTCTGCGGCGTTTGGTGATATACTTAACGTTTGATCCCCATCTGCAGACCGTTCCGGGGTGCCAAGGTCAAAAATTCTCTATGAAGTCTGCAGACCGAACCTGCGTACTCCTTTTTGTGCGCCTTGAAACATCTTTGGCTGAAGGACCCGGCCCTTTTGTCGGCCCTGGATGAGCTTATGGACATGACCACACCACCAAGCATTGAAGATTGTTAGGATCTTACGAGGTCGCTACTAGGGTGGAGGCCATCGCTGTTAGGTTCCTTTTGCTATTAGGGTGGAGGCCATGGAAGATTGTTAGGATCTTATGGACAATTGTTAGGATCTTACGAGCCGTTGGGAGGACTTATCTGTCAAAACGCCAAGGCAAGGAGTTGGGAACTCCAAATGACGGACCCTGTTTTAAAGTCCAAAGTGCTACAAGTTTGATGTTGCTTTGGCAATATCGTCTTTATGGCAAAAACAAAAGATCATACACAGACCTGTGAAAATAGGCTGGTGGGGAGAACAAGCGCGCGCATGAGCCACCCAAGCATAGGGAGCACAGTTTGTACCTTCATCAGGTCCTGAGAAAAGTCCGGGGTGCCTGAGGTGTTCTAGATTTAAAGAGTGGGTGATTCTATTGCTGACAGCCAGCTACTTTCCAGGTCCCAACTATCGACAATGTTGGTGATGGAACTGCAGCTCTTGACGTGTCGCAGTTGCTTCAAGCAAGCTAAGTACTGGGAGTGACCTCGTGCGAGGAAATGAGCTCCCCCATGACGATGTTCGACCAAGGAGAGCTTTCAGGGAGAAGAACGGATTCACCACTCAGATGCTGGGTCAGCTTGGTCACTTGGACTGTCAACTGTGAGGGTCCGAGGGGTTTTCAGGTGCTGTGAGAGCAGCACATCTCCACGCAATTCTACATGTCAACGCCCAGCAGAATAAAACTACTTTCACCAACGAAAATAAGGTTTTCAGGCCTGTCTTAGGCCTGGAAAGTGCTTCACAGCATCAGAAGATCTAACAGAATCTCACAGAACCAGCTTCAGATTGTCTCTTCACAGCCAATCTGATCATCTGTGATTCCAAGAAATTCCCTCGCCATCGCCATGCGCCTTCACTGTTGGCCACATCCACTTCTCGGTCGGCGCCAAGATGCCTCAGTGCTTGTGCTTTCCAGGGAGTGGCGAAGCATGAACATAGCAAACCCTGCTATGCCTGGAGTCTCTTTTTCAACTAGAATGGCTTTGCTTTCCCTGCTGTCTGCATGTCAAGGGCCACGTCGATAAATCGTCAAGTGCTTGCTGAATGAAAATGGCTCTGCTTTTGGCATCATTTACTTCTTTCTAGTGGTGACGCATGGCCGCTCTAATTCTGAGCACCATGTGCCGTTCGACTTCGTCGACTGCGTGTGAAACAAATACTTCTCTAGGGACTCAATCCGCCCCGTTCCGCCTGTTTGAGGTTCCTGTGTGTTGGGGCTTGGGGTGCCTTCAATTAATGGATTAAATGCAGAACACCCAAATACTGGTGATCAACCAACCGTGTCACGGAGGATGCCAACATCATGTAAAAAAAACACCAGGATAAGAACCGACCCCCGAAAGAAGCCCTCTTGCCTATTCACTCCCAGTGGCCTGCAGGATGTTGACCATTGACATCAAGGTACCGGAAGCCGTCTCTTCTGCTTCATTCATCCCGATTCCCCTTGTTTTTTCGATCATTGAATCATACAAATCCAATGCAAGGACCTTCAGCCCAACCAGCTCACGCAAGAAGAGCCACGCGGTCGGTGGCACTGTCTCTCCTGCAGCTGGGCGCTACAGGGACAGGTCTCGGGACACCAGGCACCCCAGGGACCTTACGAGCGATGGGGTCATTGACTTCTCCGGGTTCTTTACACACAAAACGACTTCGATGGCCTCCAACCTAATAGCAAAAGGAACCCAATAGCGACGGCCTCCAACCTACTTGCGATGGCCTCCACACAAAACGACGCACAAAAATGGATATGAAACGCACCAGGTGCTTGGAGTGGCTTCTCACTTACAAACACCAACGACCATCTGCGGGCTTCGCGTGCGTCACATCCCCGATGTATGAAGGACACTTGATGTTTCGGTGTTCATGACCGATCCACGTCCCACCCACGTGCCCACACCCAACCGATCCGTGATCCGATTCGGTCCACCGTCCGGCCCGTCCAGGCCCGTCCAGGCCCGTCCAGGCCTGTCGGGTCGGTACCCCGCGACCGACGACGGTCCTCATGGTCTCGAACTGCTGCACCAGGGCAGTGACCACTTCGCCCTCGAGGCACGCGCAGGTGGTCACGGTAGTCCGGGGGGCTTCCAGCACGGAGGGGCGTCCAGCGGGGTCGTGGGTCAGTGCCAGTGCCTACCACCAAGTGAACTGAGGAATACATGAGCTGCAATGAGGGGAATGCTCACCTATAATGGTTCTTGAGTCAAAGAGCTGGGTCCTGGCGATGACAGTTTTCTCTTAGCAAAAACCAATGGGTCCATTAACAAATCCATCAAAACCACCCCCAAAAAACCAACCTCATTATCCATGGACAAATCCTTCAACTGTGCCGCCTGCGCATCCTCCGCCTGGCGCTGCGGGGGGAACCGCTGCTCGAAGTCCCGGGACAACTCCTCAGCGGAGGCGCCGATCGATTCGTGGCCCCGTTCGAAGGTTCAGGGAGGTGGCAAGATGGGGTGGGGGGAAATCCACGTTCATGAGGTGATTTCACTCCAAACTGTCCTTCGCGAGGTTGACACAACTTTGACGTTGCTTTCCTCATCAGGATGAGGTGCCCCCATTGAGCACTAGCTACACATGAACATCATCAGCGCTCTCATGCGTCGTCATTCAAGCGAAATGTATGTCAGTTGGAGTTGGACAAAACGCCCTTTCAGGGTTCCATGGGTCAAGCTTTTGCTTCCAACTGCCATAACTGGCGGGGTACATGGGTGGCTTTGGGCGTGGTTCGGGTACCCAGCAAAAGAGAAGGCCTGCAGCCCATGAGAGGCGAACCTTCCCAAGAAACGCGGATAGATACGCAAGGAATTCCCCAAAAACCTTGGACAAAACCAAGTAAAGCCCACTGGTTGGTATCGCGTCTACCTTATGCATAGCCCACAGTCGCCAGTCGAACCTGCAAGAATGAGCTTCCTGACTCCCCAGAAAGAACAACATATGTTCAATGAATGAGCGCTGGCTAGGCAATTTTCGTTCTGTATCTATCATCCCTGTATCCACAAGCTACCGATCATTGCCAGAAGAGTCTTGAGTAGTGTATGTTTGAGGGGAGGCTCGCCCAACCAACCTATGACTTAGTACAAGTTCCCATCCCCCTCTGTCCCAAACGACCATGGTTCAGCCACCGCAGAAAATTCCGACTCGAAACACAAAGGTCATCAAACCCCAACATGTGAAGGGCAAGGCAGGAGAACCTCAATCCGCCCCTGCAAGGGTAGTAGCAAGGACGCTACGAACGTAGCTCCTGGCATTACTACTAGTAACAAGAAGTTACTAGTAACAAAGGGCATCGCTACGAACGGAGCAAGAAGCTTCTAGTAGCTCCTGTCCAGTGCGTTCCAAGGGACATTGCTGGGTGCCCAGCTGAGGCGCTCGCTGTGGTGCCGCAAGTGCTCCCAGAGGCCGTGGCCCGTGCCGGAGGCCTCAGAGAGACTGCGGTGGTCGGTTGCAGCGAACACTCAGGAGATAATTAGGTGGGTTTTGCTTGGTTGATGTGGGTTTAGTGGGTGAGGTGGTTGAACTGATCGGTCAAGCTAGATTTGGAAGACTTTGGTGAAGCAAATCCACCCAAGAATCAGATGTGGTACCTGGTTGAAGAGGAAAACAAACATACATATGCCTCAGCGCGTCCTGGTGAAGGACAGTGTACTATCATTCCGGCTTCACCAGCGTTGTCCATGCTTATGACTTTTGTGGAATCAGTGCCATGCAGCGTTGGACTTTTACCCTTTCCTATGATCCTGCGCCAGGCACTCCAACCACGAACTCGGAACAGCCATCATCCCAGCTTGTTTTGCAAACATCACCCTATAGACTCCGAGAAAAGAGTCCTGGTAGCTGTTAGCAAGCTTCCCATCTTTCGGTTTGGGCGCTGTGCGCCCCCCTGTCAAAGGTTCAACACCTCAGCCTGATGGAACATCCAAGAAGACTGGCTTTCTTCGTCTAAAAGGAATCTTTCAAAGTGCCAAAAGGCTCAACGCTCCCAACAAAGTCTGTTGTGTCATTGCGATGTGCCACCTGACAACCCAACTTCTGCCCGACCATGTGCATCAAACATTAGTGCTCTTTTGGCGAAACATAGGTGCTCTGGAAGCATGTGGTGATGCTCATCCCTCCATGTCCTATACTCTCACCACTACCTTCAAGGACCAACAATGCCCAATAAGGCCAAGGAAAACTGTAATCAAATCGCTCCAATAGATGAATTTTGGTTTCGGATACCCTTCAAGAAACTATTATAGTTAATAGCTTTGGGAGGAGGTCTCACAAAAACAATCGATCTCAGCTCAGAAATGTTCACCGGACACTACTGAACGTCGACTTCCTATTTCCATCGTTGCCCGGGCACCGACTCTTTGATGTCCTCCAGCGTGCCATCACACCAGCCCCAGCTGCCACGGGCCATCTGCGACCGCCGATCGGCTGCGATACACAGGGTTAAAGACGTGGATCACAGTGGCCGCACTTTTCTCATGGAGGGATGTGGCCGCACTTTTCGGTGAGATCCCGTGCCGTTTCTTTTCCAGGTTGTCATGGGTGATTTCTGAAGGCATCCGAGCACGTAGTGGGGGATATGTTTGGGAAATATATTTTCGAGGTGGTGCAGGACATTTCGAAGGATGATTTCCTGTAAAACAAATTGGTTGACACGAGCCAAAAAATGATCGCTTCGTGGGCAACTTAAACCCGCAGAGGAACTCTGACCAGATTGGGTGAACCCTTTGAAAAGGAAACACCGGCCACGTCACTGGTTACCACGTCCCAACCAAACACAAATGCATGCCTCGAAAAACCATTTTGTTGTGTGAAGGGTCTCTGTTGCCAATATTGGCTGTTTGGCTGTCGGCTCAAATCGCAACTCCCTACAGTGCCAGGCGCCATGTCCCTCCGGCAGAGCTGCTGGCCTCGCCCAAGAGCTGCGTACGGCTCCATTGGGCATAGCCCGCCCAGGCGAGGACCGTCACCGTCTGCGGTGCAGACAGGAACGGTCTGTGGACGGTCAAGGCACGAGCCGCTGCTTCTACTTCTACTTCTACTGCTACTGCTACTGCTACAGCTACCGCTACCGCTACCGCGGCCACCACCACCACCACCACCACCACCACCCAATGCTACCACCCACTGCTACCACCACCCACCACCACCACCACGACGACGACGACTACTACTACTAATACTACCTCCACTACCACTGCCACTACGAACCTGTTAAGTAGCCAGTTGAATAGCCAACTAACTTGACTAACTAAATAACTGACTAACTAGCTAGCTAGCTAATTAGCTAACGAGCTAACTAACTAACTGACTGACTGACTGACTGCTTGACTGACTGACTCACCGACTAACTAAACTACGTAACTAACTAACTAGCTGGCTAGCTAACTAAACAAACAAACAAACTAACTAAACGAAGTAAATAAACAAGTAAAAATAGACTAACTAACTACGTAACCAACTAACTAACTAAACTAAACTAAACAAAACCTAACTAACTAAACTAAACTAAACTAAACTAACTAACTAGGTAACTACGTAACTAACTAACTAACTGACTGACTAACTAACCAACTGATGCTACTGTTACCACCACCACCACCACCACTAGCACTACCACTGCGAACTTTTTAAGTAACCATTTAAGTAACCAACTAACTAGACTAACCTGTTAACTAGTTAACTAACTGACTAACTAACTAACGAACTAACTAACTAACTAACTACCTCACTAACTAAACTAACTAAACTGACACAGCTATTAGTTAACTAAACTGACACCAAACAGCTATTAGGCTGAAACTAACTAAGTAACCAACAAACTAACTAACTAAACTAACTCAACCAACTAAGCTGAACTAAACTAAGCTAAACTAGACTCGAATAGACTAGACTGGAATAGACTAGACTAGACTAGACTAAACTAACTAACTAAAAACAACAGGGAAAGAGTTGCAGCACAGTCTTCGTAGTCGTCGTCGTCGCCGTCGCCGTCGCGCCGTCGCTGTAGTAGTAGTAGTAGCAGCAGCAGCAGCAGCAGCAGTAGTAGTCGGGTAGTAGGTAGTAGGTAGTAGGTAGTAGGTAGTTAGTAGTAGTAGTAGTAGTAGTGGTAGTGGTAGTGGTAGTGGTAGTAAGTAAGTAACTACGTAGGTAAGGTAAGGCAAGGCAAGGTAAGGTAAGGTAGGGTAGGGTAGTTACTATGTAAGTAAGTAAGTACGTAAGTAAGCAATGAAGGAAGTAAGTGAGTGAGCAGTAGTAGGTAGTAGTAGGTAGTAGTAGTAGCAGTAGTAGTAATAATAGTAGTAGTAGCAGGAGTAGTAGTAGTAGTAGTAGTAGTAGTAGTGGTAGTAGTAGTAGTGGTAGTCGTAGTCGTAGTAGTAGTAGTAGTAGTAGTAGTCGTAGTAGTGGTAGTGGTAGTGGTAGTGGTAGTAGTAGTGGTAGTAGTAGTAGTAATAGTTGTAGTATTTGTAGGAGTAGTAGTGGTAGTAGTATCAGGAGAGGAGTAGGACTAGGAGCAGGAGTAGAAGTACTAGTAGCAGGAGTAGTGGTAGTAGTAGTAGTAGCAGTAGTAGTAGTAGTAGTAATAGTAGTAAAAGTAATAGTAGTAGTAGTAGTAGTAGTAGGATAGGAGTAGGAGTAGGAGTAGTAGTAGTAGTTGTGGTAGTAGTAGTAGTAGTAGTAGTGGTAGTAGGAGCAGTAGTAGTAGTAGTAGTAGTCGTAGTCGTAGTGGTAGTAGTCGTAGTGGTAGTGGTGGTAGTAGTAGCAGTAGGAGGAGGAGTAGTAGTAGTGGCAGTGGTAGTAGCAGTAGTTGTTGTAGTAGTAGTAGTAGTAGTGGCAGTAGTAGGTGGTAGTAGTAGTAGTAGTAGAAGTAGTAGTAGTAGTAGTAGTGGTAGTAGTGGTAGTCGTGGTAGTCGTGGTAGTCGTGGTAGTCGTGGTAGTAGTGGTAGTAGTGGTGGTAGTAGTAGTAGTGGTAGTGGTGGTAGTGGTGGTAGTAGTAGTAGTAGTGGTAGTGGTAGTGGTAGTGGTAGTGGCAGTGGCAGTGGTAGTGGTAGTAGTGGTGGTGGTGGTGGTGGTGGTGGTGGTGGTAGTATTATTAATATTAGTAGTAGTGGTCCATCTGCATGAATCCCAGTGAGTTCTCTGTCTCGAGGTATACGTTGCAATAAATGCACCTGTTCATATCACCGCAAGGTGATTGAATCATTGAAGTGCGCGATGCCGTAGGCCCATCGTCTCCACCAGCCCCACTCGTCCTCGCTGGATGCTTGCGAGTGTGTCCGGCCATCTTGGGCACTCTGGATCCACAGGGCGTGGCTGGAAGCACTGCTTCCAAAGGGCGCTGCCAGGAACGAGGTCCAAGGAGTCTCCCCAGGTCCTTTCACAGCTCTCCTACGCGACCAACTGGATGATGCCAAACTGCGGTCAATGGCATTTGTTGAGTCAACACCTCAGGCAATTTCACTTCAACGATCTGAGATGACACTGAGGCTTGACTCATCACGAGATACAGAACGCAGATTCGCCGCAAGAGCAGCATTGCCTCCGCCTGAAAGTGACTCACTGTAGCCGGCGAAAACGCTTGTGACTTGCAAGCCGGTTTCCGCCACCCTGGCTCACAGGCTCCTTGGTTAGCAGGTGGCGCCTGTGTCGGCTGCAGCCACCCTGCTTGCGGCGCTGCTTGGTAGCGGAATACAACTAGACGACGGTTGGCCCGAGAGCGAGACATGTGATTGTCCAGCGCTGTCGAAAAGATATATAGAAAGAGAGGGTGGACGTGAAGGAGTGACAATGTGGATGTGCAGGTGCGATATAGATGTGTAGATGTATGGAGGTGGAGAGGTAGATCTGTGGATGTGAGCGTGCGAAGATGTAAATGTACAGAGGCGAGAGAACAGATATGTAGAAAGAAAGAAATGTGAAGGAGTGACAGTGTGGATGTACAGATGTGATATAGGTGTGCAGATGTGTGGGTGTGGTGAGGTGGAGAGGTAGATCTGCGGATGTGAGCGTGTGAAGATGTAAATTTACAGAGGTGAGGGGGTGTAGAGGTAGATGCGTCGACGCAACGGCAGCGCAACGTCGACCTTAGTTGTGCAAGTACAGTGCTGAAGAGGTTCGAATAGAACTGAAGAACGTACATGTCACACTGAAGTTTCCACGAAATGGACGTAAGGGCGACCTGGGAGCAAACGACGTCACGATCATGACAAGCGACTCGTGTATTCCAAGCGAACATCGTTTGTCATGAAGGAAGTACACACACACACTAACGTCACGATGACTCTTTTGTGGCAGCCGCTGACTGGGCCAAAATGCGCCGGACCGGGCCAAAACGCACTCTCGCCTGCATTTCGCGCCCTCGACACGCACGATCTCCGCAGAGGGTTGCGCGGGGGTGAGCGCAACCGATAGGCTCTGCGAGGCGCTCCATCCGGATGCTGCTCATCCTGCTCCTTGAGGGACTTCAAATCCCAACCTACAAAATCGACATGTGGACCGAGAGGAACCAGGCTTTGACATTGATCTGGAGACCACGTGCCACCACGTACTTGCCCCAACTCGTGACATCATTCTGAAGGTCCATGGAATCACAAACAGGCTGGCTCAAGTTGTGGAAGTCATCGTGGAAGGGCTTCCGGCCTTTTACTGTGTGTCCAGGACCATTGCAGAAGCCATTCAAGAGGTCGGTCAGGTAGCTTTCCAATCCCAGCATCTCGAATCCGAATTCAAGAAATGACATTACAATTCTCCAATTTCCGATTTCGATAACGACACGTGAAGTCAAATATCTAGTGACATGAGCAACTGCCAAAACCTCCGATGATGAAGACACCATAATAGCACTCGTTTTGACACAACACATATCACTACTTGGCCGAAAAGCCGCAGGAGCACTTGCCTTTAATGCAGCCCATGATGCCCTCTCGGAGGTATGCTTGAGCTAGCGTTATCCAAGTATACGTTCTTAGTTCCCATTCAAAGCAAAACGCAATGAAGAAACAACACTGTAGAGATTGAAAAGGGAACGCTGGGAATGCCTGAGCAGTATGTGAAAGGGTTGGATAAGGTTGGGATTGTCAAAACCAGAAGATCTCTCCATCACTGAACAAAGTTGGAAAAAACCCAAAGCACTATCCCACCCGAGGCAGTCGTCACTCACCATTTCACGCGCTCTCTGCCGAACCTCCCAAACAAAACACACCGCTTGCCTCGCTCAAGGCGTCGGACTCCTGTCGCAGTTTGCACAAACCGGGCCAATTAGTACCTTGAGGAGTCATTAGCGAATAACTTGAAATGAATAACTTGCTCATCCGGTTGTGCGACAATTCTATTCACAACACTTGAATATCTTGTCCGCATGGCAGTTCTTCAATCCGGACATGTCTTCCCCCGGCTAGAGACCCGTATCATGGCCAGGATCATGGTTGATACGAAATACAGAAGTCACCAACAGAGTTGGCGCAAACTCCAAGTTGGGTGGTTGGGATCCTGATCTCGAACCATCTGTTGAGGCCGTTGTCATCACTACTGCTTTCACTGACTGCATCTGACTGCAATATTGAGTGATGAGAAACAGATGTTAAACACCCAAACACCAAGGTTCAGACCAAACCGAAACCTTTCCATCCATCACCACTCTCTCATTGCATGTCCACCAGTCAGTCCCTCCATCAGTCGCCTCAAGTCGACCTATTTCCTTCCAAACCACTGCTGGCCTCCTGGGCCAAGGTCAACACCGACGCCAAGGTGCCGTAGACCACTTGCCCATCGTCGTCTCCTACACGGGCGGGTCCGCCGGTGGAGACTGGTGGACAAACACTGATAAAAAGACCCGTTGTGGTCCGGACGAACGAGGAGCAAAGGAACACCTGTCTTACGAGCGAGAAACATGAAAAGGCTTGTGAATTGGTGTGTTCGTTCAGTTTTACCGTTGGAGTGTCCCCAACCACCTGGCAAAGTTCCAATAAGAATCGCTTGGAAACCTCTTCTGAGTGGCGCAAAAGGATGATGTCATAAACATCTTTAGCGTCAAAGCTGCTGCCATCCACCCTAATGAAGGTCCTTTGAGAACATTCGTGAAGGATATTTCTCTATTTTCCCTTGCTTTCAACTCAGGTTCTTATTCTGTTGCGTGGTCTTTATTCTTCCTGTCTTGCCTGAAGACACTGTCTAAAGAAGTGGCTTCCACGTCTCGTCGACGAGAAGCGCTACGGCTGCTTTCCGCGCCTCTGATCAACGCCCTGCAGCCACTGGACCTGGGTCAGTGCTGTCTCTGAAGAGCCGCCGATTCACTTGCATGAAAACAGAAGGAATGATGCTGTTGTTTTTGACTCCCGCTTGTGTGCCCAAGTTTCCAAGTCAAATTTTCCAATCTCAGTATCACATTCCCAACAAAAAAGCACACACAAGCACACATGCCTGCCTCTCTCTCTCTCTTGCCAACTTGCCTTGCCTTTGCTTTGCATCACCCCAAAAAGACCACCACCCAACACCACCTTCCCCATCTTCCGCCCCGTCCTCTGAGGCTTCCAACGTGGATAGCGCTGAAACGGCGCGCTGCGTGCGGAGCACGGTCACGGCGCAGACGTGGCGGGGCTTCACGGGGCCTCCGTTCATCCACAGCACGTCCTGAGGCGAGATGTCGGTGAGATCGTTGGTCTGGTGGAAGACCAGGAAAAGAACGAGCCATTTTTCGGGAAAAGAACGAGAGAAACAATGGCTTTACTTTCAAAGAGATGCATCTAAAAGAAGAAGTAGATCCATTCTGGATAAACGAAAGCATTTCGGGAGTATATGTTGCCCTGCTCTTCAAGGTCTTGCTCATGAAGGTAACTCTACGCCTATACGGTGGGGTTTCATTCATCGGGGTCACCTGTAGGCCTTTTGTCTCACCACATATTGATCAGGCAAGCTACTTCTTGGGGTTGGCTCTGGGGATGCTGGTCACAGGTGAGATAATCTTGCAAGCGGTTTCAAGTCCATCGGTTTCAGCCCAAAACATTTGCTCGAGAGCTTAACCTTGTGCAGCTTGGGCCCTTCCTCACATGGGGAAGACATCGAAGGCCTCTATCATAAAAAGGTGGAGCAAACCGTCAGAAAACAAGTTGCGGTTCTTTGCTTACTCCTCTCAAACAATTGTCGATTTAGGTGCCAACGAGAAGGCTTCTATCCGTTACAGGCCCAATTCCGAGTGCCAATGACAAAAAGAAAAAGGCAAGTCCCTAGAACAAAGCATGCAAAACCTTAAACTTGGAACATGCCTGCAAATAGATGACACTCCCACGTTGACATTGACTGTGATGTATCCCTATGAGTACTTCCCAGCCCATCCATCAAACGGCTGGTCTTTCCAAATCTTTCCAAGGCTCGACGCCCTCTTGACGTAGCTGCTGCAGCATGTCCCCTGTGACGTCCTCGAAGCGCTGAGAGCACTTCTGTGGCAATTTCTGTTTGTCCAAAGACCCTGAGAACACTGGTTTACTGATTCGGATCGGCGTTCCCCTGGAAAATTTCAGGAATGACCCATTCTCCTGTCTGTTCAGTGAGAAGTCAATCACCAAACACGCTTTTGCAAGTTAGCCACGCACACGATTGCACACGATCGAAATTTGATTGACACTCTCGTGGCTGTCAGATTCTCGATGGGTCATGTCAAGCCGAACAAAGTTCCTGCACACCCTTGAGCGGACCTACAACCTTATGACCTTACAACCAAAAACCGCAATGACACCGCGGCAACATGAGCAAATGACAGAACTAACTCAAAACCTCTTGGTTCCTCCGTCAAGGTAACATGACCTATCTATTGGCCATCCATCCTCATTGAACTCACCTCATTCGACCGGCCTCACCGACCCCGTCCGCGGTTCCGCTCCGCGCGCCGCTCCGGGCCTCGCAGTGGAGGCCTTCCACGTTGGGCGCCTCCAGGGTGCGGCACAAGTTCACGCCCAGGACCACGTCGCCTCACCGCGAAGACCAAGCCCAAGTCGGCACCGGGGCAGGGGTTGCGGTTAAAGGCTTTGAGGCTGGGCAGGTCAGGTGGTAGAATTTTGGCTTTGGAAAAGATGTGTGTCAGTTATGCGAAGTTGGTGAGGTTTGAGAAGTGTATGGGTGAGTGGAGAAGGGAGGAAAACCGAAAACCTTTGGAGTGGAGGACTCCGAAGTTGCAAGAAGATCATTCCATTTTGATAAAGCGGTTCTGTGGGGATTAGCTCACTTGAAGCAGTTTCCTGTTCAAACCATATATTGGACTGCTATAGGGGTGTTGCGGATTTCTATGCCTGAAAACCTTCCATTGTCAAGAGCCCCCGCAAACTTGGAACACTGGCACTGGGCTCCAGCTCCACAGCTTCGTTGAGCGGCTTGTTCAGCTCAGCTCCTAGAAGAAACTATGCAAGGTGTGTCCCCCTCCTTCTTCAACTATGCAACTGTCAACGTGCCATATACTGCCCTCGGTCTCCTTGTCCTCAAGGGCCCCTGACAAATCGCTTGACGTCAGCTCCCCCAACCCCTGTTTTTCTGCTCGATGCACCGAGGTCTCGAGCCTGGTCGAGGGGCCCCCGCTCTGCAACGAGCCCCGCCACTGGTCCATCGACTTTTGCAGCGGCAACAAGCACAACCACAAATAAACCACACAAGGATATGTATCTGTGAGTATTATATGTTCATGCATTTTGTGTCTGTGGCTCTGTCTACTGCTTGGAATGGTTGGTGCTTGGTTGTCCGACTTTCCCCCTTTGAATTGCCTTGTGCGCACAAGGACACCCTCAGTTGAAAAATAAGCCATCTGTCACACATACTACGCTCTGCCGGCAGAAGGGACACTTGTCACCGTTTTGCTTCTGCTTGTCTTTGCAATCATGGCAGATCACGTGTCCACAGGGCGCCAACACGATCATAGGTTTGTTTTCTTCGCATACCGCACAGGTCCTGACGTGACCCTTCAAACGCTTCTTCGGTGGCTCAGCTGAAGCATCACGGGCGACTTTGTCCCAAGAGGCCTTGAGGTGAATATATCTTAAGACTCCTGACACGCTGAAGCTTGTGAAGCCAAGGCTGTCCATGTGCCTTTTGAACTCTGACTCGTACTCCTGGTAGTTGCCACCGCACGGCAGTTCCGCATCTGAATAGTTGTTCCACGTATACTCGCCCTGTTGGCTAGCGCTTGTGCACTTCGTCTTGAACTTCTCCACTTCAGTGGCAACCTTGGCAAGAACGTTTTTCACCAAGCAGTTTACTGTTGGGGTTCCATCTTAGAAAAAAAGAGCTGGCCACACTCACTGACCGCGCCCCTGAACTCTGTGGCTGGGCTCTGTGTCCAGGCCTTGTCCTCTTGTCCTCTGTGGCTGGGCTCTGTTCTGTGTCCAGGCTCTGTGGCTGGGCCTTGTCCTCTTCTTGTATAATTCTTGGCAGTGCTCCCCAAATCTTTCCAAGAGCTCACTAGCCTATAATCAGCACCCTGTCTTGATACAGCAATCTGCCTCTCGCTGAGAAAACACTTGGTCCTTTCCCAGAGTCCCCAAGTCAAAGTCCGAGCAAGGAGCAAACTTTCGCATCTTCTGAATTTCTTTCGCCCGCTTCTGACGCTCCTCTTCCTCCTTCCGAGCACGAGCGGTGTCCGCATTGCGGGCCAAGCCCTGCGCAAAGGACATGTCGCGGGCACCAAGCCTTGCAGGGTGGCCGAGCGAACGTCTCGGGCTCCTCTACTTAGGGTCGTGGTGCCACCTTCATGAATGGATGAACTGGATGGAGCAAATGGGTTGGGAATTTTCTCCAACAAAAGATAATCAAACAGCAAGCGTTACTTGGATAGCTTGACCTGTACGTAGTAGAGGGCCAAAGTTCCTGATTCGAAGCAGGAACGACCCTCTTGCAGCCACTTGTCCCGGAAAGTTCGGCCCCCAGTCCAGCCTTCGACTGCTTCAGCTGCGCTAAAGCCCCACCCCTCTCAGCCCCAAATGGCTACAAAGGTGGCATCCATGTGTGTCTAACCTGCGAACAGGCCCAACTGCGTAGATTCATTCTTCGAAAGCCCATCTTGTCAGGAAACACCCCTTGGGAATCCCACAAACAAGGCTAGTGAAATGGATGAAAAGGGGGTGGCGTCACTCCACCCTCTGCTCAAGGAACCAACTATCCCAAACTTGCCAGTGCCGGTTCTATTGGTTGATTCTGATTCCATTGAGAGATGCTCATTTTGGATCTGCAGAAAAAGCAGCTCCCTTGCTGCGGTTTTCATTTTCCGCATCGTTCGCACCGAGCACCCGTGCTGCCATCGCTGGCGCCGGGGGAGATCTCCGTGAGCATGTAGACCTCGCAGGTCGGGGGCCGAGGAGGGTCTTCTTGAGTCATGAACGAACGGAACCGAACTTCTTCCTTTTTGTTTCTAATAGCGACGACCTCCAACCTACAAGCGATGGCCTCGCCCTACTGGCCTTGGCCTCCAACCTACTAGCGATGGTCTCCAACCTACTAGCAGGCGCCCTCCAAGCAAAAAAATGTGGGTCCCGGCTTTGGCACGTGGTGCGAAGTGTACCACGCACCGCGGAAGGCTGGTTCTGACATCTCTTGCCCAACTACTTGGACTGCTTTTGTGCACTGGGCCATCCAGTCAGCCTCAAACCCAGAACAGCCATCTGTGATCTTCCCAGCTTTCCAAGGTCAGTTGTGCGAGTCTTCCGGTTGGAGGTTCCAACTCCCCTAAGACCTCGCCACCAAGCAATTTGTTGGGATCGATTACGCAGATTTGTTGGGAAGATTCGGAGAGACTGCGGATCTCTCCCTTGATGGAGTTAGGAGATTAAAAACCACAGAGGCTGCCAATTACAGAGTTTTCTTCCATCTTTGCAGTGACATCATCAGCATGGAACGTCCAAGTCCATCCATTCTAAACATGGCCGGGGTGAAGGTGAAACAACTGCTCAGCCTTCTCAGGAACTGTGATTCAGTACATCAATCAAGCATAGTAGGTGAACACTGGCCGCTTCTCACCGTGAGACCCAGTCGGACTATTCCAACCGCCTCCCCTCGAAAAAAGATCCCAGTCGTTGGTGCACTTCGGTGGGGCTCCGATGCCCGCTGGGCGATGCGCGCAGCGGCGCAGCGGCACCCAGGTGGTCGGAAGAGACATCACCCGACTCACCCGGTTTCGCCCGAGCCACCGCCGACCGTGGGAGTCCCTAAGGTCGTGGCAGCCCGACGGAAGTGCCTTGGGAGTGGCGAACAGCGAGGCAAGGCAACTCAGCATGAGCTGGTGGTGTACCAGGGGGTGAGCCCATAATTGAAACATGGAAGAACTAACCATCCAAAAGAGAGATTCAAAAACACAACAAGGCACAAACGCATCCTATTTCTATTTCTTTCACTGAGTCCAGGCTTCGCGGTAGTTGTTTCGTGGGATTCTGAGGAGACGTGACCATGAACACTGCAACTACTGTCATATCATCTGTACTTGAAAAAAAACACCGACTTGGAAGTAGGCCCTAAACTGAAAAAGTGAACCTTCCAAAGATGTTCAAACGTCTACTGGCAGGATGTCGAGCGGCGCGTTGGCTTTTGAGCCATTACTCGTGGCTTTCCTTGAACATCCTAAAGATGCTTTTGGCTAGTGCTGTACGATCCCTCAATGTTGGCCTTTCAGAAAAGCAACGTCCTTCGACATTTGTGCAGAAAACGTGTTTCCTTTATGCACCTTCTGGTGTTCCACGCTTTGACTTTGCCTATCACAAAGAAACACTCTGAGTGTTTCAAGGGCACATGACCAACAGCCGCGAGACTCCACTGGACAAACAGGACTGGCAACTGGACTCCAATCCCGTGGCGTTGTTTCCAATGTATAGCACTGAGCTACTGGTACCGAAGGGCCAAAAGAACCAAGCTCTCAAGTAGACATCATCATTACACCAGACAACCTCTGCCATTGCGACTAGTCAAACCGGTGCCACAGCCTTTGCTAGTATCCTCGATCAAGCGGAGATGTTGATAATCACTGAAAGCTATTCTGTAAATAAACATGTGTTCCTGATAAATCATACTTTTCAATTTACATCCGTGCCCCTCTCAAGGAATGCAGAAAACAGAACATTGTCTCTCTGTGGGTCAGGACATCCATTTCCATGTTTTGAGAATTATTTCAACCAACCAACCTCCAGAGATTCTCTACAACATGCTTCCGAAGCTTGGGTACTAGGTCGTGGTCTCTGAACTTTCTTCGGAGCCCCGAAACTGCCCCTGCAACACTATCTTCCAATCTTTTGCTAGTGGCACCAATCTGCCCACATCCCCCACCCCCCCAGAAACCACATCCCCTTCCCCTCACGCCACCCTGGAAAAACACCACACACCACCACCCCTGCTGGGGGTCGTTGCCGCCGCCCTCCGCCCTCGTCCTTCCGCTTCGGCCCCAGTGGCGCCGCTTTGGCCTCGATGAAGGCGCGGATCGCCAAGTTGTCGATGCCCGAGGCCTCGGGTCCGTCCGGGTCGACCTGGTCAGGGAGGGCTCGGGTCCGTCCGGTCGCTGATCTGTATGGTGGTTGCAGACTTTATCAAAGTCTTTGGCTTGCACCAAAGGAAAAGAGGTAGGAAGGGACTTCAAAGATGTCTTGCGGGATGTGGGGAAAAAGCTTAGCTTTTAGACTACAAGAGGTAGTCGCTCAGTCCTGAATCTCTTCCGAGTACATGAGGAAAACGTGTGCATCTCCTTCCGAATCACTTCGCGTTGGAACGGGAAATAAATGTCCCAGCGACGTGGGTCTTGAACCCCCTAGGAAAGACATCATTTGCCCTTCTCAAGACAAAGATTGCTTCTATATTCTATATGATCCCTTCAACCAGGACCTGACTTGTACTGCGGTCTTCTCGGCCAAAGGCAGCTATAGAGGCTCCAACTGAACTCAAGAAAAGAAGGGCTCGACTTCCTCCGTCAAATCCCAGAACTGAATAGCACCCCCCCTGGTTTGGTTGCCACCAGGTCATACAATGCCAATGTCTTTCAATATTCTTGTGGGCTTTTAAACAACATCTATTTCATCCACTTTCGAGTTGTGTTTCATAAGGGATGACGCTTTGAAACCCCACCCCCATCAAGCCGGAGAACCCCAGGTTCTCCACCTCCCAAACCACGGCACCCTTTCACCGCTCCGGCCGCCCGGACCGAGGACTCGGAGCAGCGCTTGGAGACCAAGAGCATGGCGGGGGCCACGCGGCCGGGCGTCACCTGGGGATCCAGGAGTGGATGGACGTTGGACGAGTGGTTTTTGGGATGGTTTTGGCTCGTGTCACTCGTAACTGATCCCAACTGCATGACAGAAGACTTTCAGGTTGAAAAGGTCTGGGAAAGTGCAACAAAAACCAGCTGATAGTAGAAGTGGGGTGATCATCTACTGTCCACGACCCTGGGTAGGCTACGAACCAAAAAGAGCTCAACACGAACCAACGGAGCTCAACACGCCTCCGCGCTCCACCTGAGCCCAACAGGCCGAGCTCGGCACGCCGGCGAGGTCGGACATCATCTCCGCGCGATCCTGTCGGCAGCGAGGTCACCGAGCGAAACACGTCGGAGAAGGAGGCGCAAGAAAAAAGGATCGTGTCCTGTGGAGGTGGCAAAAGGAGTCTCGGCTGCTTCTTTCGTTTTGGGAGTGACAAAAGTTGAAGAAGTGGAGGAAGAGTGTGATGATTTTGAATGAATCTCCTTAACTATCTAAGTAAATGTCGCAAAAAAGGAGTCTCTGTTGGCTATCAAGCTCTTTCGCCTCCCCAGTCTTCCAAATTCAACCAACCTTGGATGCTGAGACCTGAGACAAATCGATGGGAGATCGTTTTCGGACCTCAATGGATCGGACCGATGACGTTTCCTCCCAGGCAAGAGCACCAGCTGAAAAGCCTCTGTCTGAAAACCGAAACAAATAATCATGAACATCCATGCGCATAGCTCTAGGAGTTGAGTTGGTGCCCCAAAAAGGGCGTAGGAACCGTGGGAGGAAAACACACAAACCTCTTGTTTACGCCCGTTCTGGTTCCTTGAAAAGCTCTTCCTATGCTCGGACTGATGTGAAGAAAGGTCCAACGCTACTGGGCAATGAAAACCAGTCCGGTCGCCGATGTCCTCGGTCGCGACGGCTCCGACGAGTGAAGACCCACACAGGGCTGGCACCTGTTCTGGGCTGGCCAGGTGGACCCAGGTGGGTACTCTTGGTGTGGGTACTCTAGGTGGTCTGAAGTGTGGACTGAGCCAGGTGGGCACCTTGGTTCTGGGGCTCTGTCCAGACTTTGTTGACTCCCCGCCTGTGGTGGCACATCGAAGGTCCCCTTGCACACGTTACACACACAGTGCCGGTCCTGGCGCCGAAGAGCGAGGCGGTGCTCAGCCGTGCGATGCTTCGCACGCTGGGTTTGACCATGCGAAGTTTGGGTTTTGGATAGCACATGTAAACTTTTGGTTTACTGTGATAACAAAAGAGAACGTTTTTTGGTTTCAAGTAACAAAAGTTCATACTGTTCGATACTTTTGTTACTTCCAATGACATTTCGATACAAGGCTTAAAGCTTGGGTCACATATCCCCGTCACATATATCATATAGGGTTAAGATGGTGGGCTTTGGGAACAAGATCCGTAAAGGCCTAGAAGTTCGGATGGAACATGCAAGCGCCCCCCCCAAAAAAGAGAGTCCTTTATCAATCCAGCAATCCAGGCGCTTGCTATAGTCCTTTGGAATCAATCGAGAACCTCTCCAAACGAACAGTCACATACAGTCATCGGAAGGACATGGGATTCTCTATGGCTCACGAAACCCGCTCCTTCCGAATATGCGTTGGCAAAAGCTGACTTCTCTGGATTCATGTGAGTGAAGCCTTGGGTTTTGGGGAAGGAGTTCGAATCTCCTGTGATGTTCTACATCCTTCGATTTGAGTGATCGAACTTCACATCGAAGCATCCAAAACACCCGGGGCACCGAAAGCCGTCCTTCGGACCTGGACCCGACTACCTCTTCCGCGCCTCGGTGTCGCGCTCATCCTCGGGCGACCGTCGGCGAGTGTTGGGGAGGTCCTTTTTTCTGGGAACGCTTCCCTCCGTTCGGTTCGCATCCTTGCTCCTAGTAGCGAGGCCAGGAGCCCCTAGTGGCTTCTTGCTCCTAGTAGTAAGGCCAGGAGCCCCGAACGTAGCGTCCTGGTTCCGTTCGTAGCGTCCGATCGCTCTGTTCGTAGCAATGCCAGTTTCGCCCCGTTCGGTTCGCGTCCTCCTTGCTCCTGGTTCGAGGTCTCGTTTTTGATCCAAAAGAATCGATGGTTCCATTTTCGTGATCTGTTTGACATCTTGGGATCCGATCCGGGAAGTCCGTGTGCAAACTTCTGCTGTTTAGACATTAGTAGTTTGATTCGTTTGGATCAGCATTTAGAGCAGATCCGGAACCTGTCGTGCATCTGTCCCTGTACAGCTTTGTCCATCAAAATGATTGACAGTTCCCAGTGACATTGCTCAGTGTTGTCGAGCATGAAAAGAGCTAAGATGGACCGCAAACACCCAGCTCTTAAAACCCAAAACACACTTCGATGGCCGTCTTTCGGCCCCCCGGACAGAGACGTCTTGCGCAGTGACTCAACGACCCGAGAAATCAGCAAACGCTCAAAATGATCGAAACACCAAACTAGTAGGCTATTTGCTACCAGTAGTAAGGCCAGGAACTACTAGTAGCGTTCCTGCTACTAGTAGAACTGCTCTTTGTTAAAGTAGTAGCAATGCCCTTGTTACTCACAAGAGTAAAAACAACACACCTTTCTAAACATGACAACTCAAGTACCCATCACCAAACACCCAAACCACAGAGCAGGGTCGCCACTCCTTCCCCTTTCCCCTTTTCGCACCTCTCTTCCCTGTCCGTTCCAAGTGTCCGGATGGTTGGAACCGCCCAGCTGCCTCGGACCGGTCCATGGCTTTTGCTCTTTTCACTCCGACCGGTTCTTTCGTCGCACCATGGGCCTCCAAACTTCCCAACAGACCGCACCCTCTTCCATTGCTTCGGGAACCATATACATCAAGAAGGCCGTGCAAGGCGACCTTCTTTCAGCTGAACCGTCTGCAAAGAGGGTGGGGCAAAAATTACGTCGGGAGAATCTGCATCCCAGGTTGGCAATCCTGACGTTGGACCCATTTTGTGAACAAACGGAAAAAATCAAGGCTTACCACTGCAAGGAAACCTCAGAAATTTGTGGAAATGCGACATGGGACCCATACTCACCAAATCATCCAAATCTTTGCCCATGTCGGTATGATGGCCGTGGCCCCTCCTTTGCATGCATGACATGCATGACCATTCCTGTGTAGCTTCTTTTGAAAAACATCATTTCATGTTAGGCGTGGCAATTGTCCAGGCCTTTTGCCTGTGGTGCTGGCCGAGGTCAGACAACCGCGCGCTCGTCGTCCCATGCCAAGATGCACAGTGCGTTGCCACTTGCGCAAGCATGCGACATGAATGAACTTCTGCGAGCCCTGGCGCGCATGGGATCTGTCATCTTTGTCAACCACCTCGCCAGCCCATGCTGGCCACGTTGGCAAGTTACATCTCGCAAGCGGTCCTTTGTCCCAAGCAAGTCTGCTTAGCGACTTGCTCTGAAAGTGTGGCAGGGAAGCAACGGAAGCTGTGGCATGCTCAACTCGTGTTCTAACGCCGGGGAAAGCGTGCCGCTCCATGGTCGGGTCAATCAGCTGCTCGACGCCAAGTGGGCAAGGGCCAAGTGACAGCTGCCATTCAGTTTTCCAGTTTTAGGTGTTGTGAGCCTTGAACGCCCCAAATCCAATGCCTATAGCGTGCGGCGCCCACCCCTTCGCCAGACCGATGTGACACTTTGATGCGCACCACGTCCTTCCGCTTCTGTCACCCTCCGTCACTGTCGCAGCGGGTTGTGTAGCAACCTGCACACGTCATGACGGACCTGTGGTAGACGACGTAGAGGACCACAAATCTCGTCGCAATGACGACTTCGGGCTCCACATCATAGAAAGGCGGAAAGTAGATTCCGAAGGAAACAACCCTGACTTGGCCTTCCGCCTTGGAACAAGAGCAACCAAGAACCCTTCTCTTTGGGTTGGACCGGTCACGGACCTGTCTCTTTGGGTCGCATGGTCGGGGCAGCGCTTGGTGGTCTTTTTCACCAGGTCTCGAGGGTCGTGTTGGGGGTCGATTTTTCTTGCTACTACTAGAAATTCTTACTACTAATGCCCTTAGCTACTGGTAGCTTCTTGCTACTAGTAGTAATGCCCTTTAATTCTTTTTATCCTTTTGACTACGTCTTCTTTCTGGAGATTTCTTCTCGTTTTGGGTCAAATGACTCCCTACACAGCCCGGATGACTTGGATTCGGCGATCTCGAAGCCACCTGCGGTTTCACCAGAATCATCTGAGCCTGGAACCTGGCTAAAAACCTTCAAGAAGACCAGAATCATCTGGACTCCGACGTCGCGTGCTTCCTTCCTTCGGAACTGGTCCACCAAGCAAACGTCCTCGACTCCCACCGGAAGGGTCCTCACCGGTCTCCCACCCAAACCGGAAGAGACATGCAGCGGTCTCAGAAAGACGCGCTGCAAGGGTGGAGTGGATGTGGATGGGCATTCTGTTGTTGGACGCTTTTCTTTTACTAGAAAACAGTCCACACCAACCCCCGGGATCTATTGAATCCTCTTCTCACGTTGATTGTAGGACTGAAGGACTGGAGCACCAACTACACTCGTTCGTGCGTGTTCCCCCGTCGAAAACACATGCGTTGAACCACAACACGGACCATCATGGACCTGAAAACAAGAGGACTTGCCCCCCTGCGGACCATCTGGTCTTCTTGGCTCAAGCCAGAGAAGCTACTAGTAACAAAGGGCATCGCTATGAACGGAGCAAGGACGCTACGAACGGGGCTCCTGGCCATACTACTAGGAGCAATGTTCGCTACTAGCTTCATCTCGGTGGCGACCGGGAGTCGGGCACCTCGCAGTGGCAGGGCGAGATCAACGCCAAGTTCTTATCGCCCGGTTGCTCCTCGGAGAAGGTGGGAGAAGCGATCTCCGTGGAATCACATGTTTGGGTTGTGCTGGTGGTGTGCGCTGAGTAGAGGGAGGGAAAGGAGGGGAAAAGGAGTCCTGGCTGGAAGGAAAGTGTATCTCCAGCCTTGGGAAAACCACCCCTTCGGTCTTTCCTGGCTGCGTGAAGAATGGTCTCTCAATCCGAACTCAGAACCGTCCACCCGTTCCGACGGGTCCACCCGTTCCGACGGGTTGATGCTTCGGACGGATCCACCCAGGCCGTGGTTGGTTCGGTGAATAGCTCGAGTGGGGTGTGGTGTGGGTTCCTGGTGCCGTAGCTCGATGTGGACATAGACCTTACACCAAAAGCTACCGTATGGGACTCCAATGACTTGACACAAAGGATACTGTGTGGGCTGTCGACGAGGTCCTTGGAGGGTGAAAAATGGGACACCGCGTATGTTTTGCGTAGCGTGAGATAGTCTCAGTGTGTTGGTCCAATGTCGTGCAGCAATGGTTGGGTTGAGCAGTAGAAAAGAAGTTAATTATCCATTTGATGGAGTAAACACAGTGGACACCTGCTGGCATGAAGCATGTGGATTGGGCTTCCTTTGACACCTGTTTGATGTATGTATGCGGAAGGGGTCCCAACTTCGAAGGCCAAAACGACATCGCCGTGATGTCCAATCCTGACGGTCCATGGCTATCGTCCGTGTTTAATCCCGAACACAAAGGTGATCTTCCTTCCTGGCTGGTGCTTTCAACCCACCTGAAAACAACAGCCAGAGCCATTTACTGATATACTATGTTTCAACCATCAGGACGAACCTATGAAGACATTTGAAAACATCCTTCCATTGGATCTCGCGTGTCGCGCAAACGACCCACCGCCGCACGACCGCCGGAGCAAACGGTTGCGGTCCTCGCCGAAGCAAATGCGGCAGGTCGGGCCGTCCATGTGAGCGGGGCCAGTGGATGAAGGTCCAAAGAAGACACTCTTTGGATGGTGTTCTTATTAGGAACAAGAAGCTACTAGAGGGGCTCCTGGCATCGCTACTAGGGGCTCCTGGCCGCACTACTAGGAACAAGAAGCTACGAACGGAACAAGGACGCGATTACTCTTCTTGATTGATCTCTTTTCTTGGCGAAAGAAGAAATGTGACCAGGTCACCAATCAAAAACACCATCCATCCAGGTCTGACCAGGGGGGAACCCCTGGTGGCCAGGAATCAGGAATGGAATGGCGATTGCAGGGGCTTTGAGTTCGACGTGGTGGACGGTGAGCCTGGTGATGCGTGATAAGCCCAGCGAAGAGCCAAGCTCCATGGTCTTTGGAGCTAAACGTTGCGAAGGATTGTCGAACGCTTCCAACTCGCCTTTGTACCGGTTCCCAACTGTGTGACTCAACTTTTAGACCCATCCAGTGAGCGGACCGAAGTTGACTGCACCAACTGCAAAGTGCAAAATGGGTCTGTTTCAAACACCGAACTAATTGTGAACCTCAGCCTTTACTTGTGCGAGTCACTGACGAAACTCTCTTGAACATTGTTCTTCCGCAACCTGCCCATTTTCTTTGCGGAAAAGAAGAACTGCATCCCAAAAGCTTGTATGGACATCCCCATCGGCCCATCGGGGCATCAGTAGATTCATCCAGTGGTCAGATCCAAAGCTTTGGGGTCTTCCAAAGGAATCATCCACCTCTGATTGGGCAAGTAAGCTGACCTGGAGTTGAGCCAACACCTGGACCCACCCGAAACCATGGTGAGTGGAACTCGGGACCCGCCCTGGTAGACTCTGCAGTTCGATTCTCAACCAGGCTCCGCCACTTCTCCCCCGCCACCCGGCGCCCGCCCCACCGTTTTCTGCTGCACTACCCTTTCGCTGCGTGACATGGCACCAACAGCCTGCGGCGTGGGTCCAGTGAGTTGGGCTCCGTATCGCCCGTTTTCTTTTCTGGATGAAACGTGCTTGAACGCTGGGGTACGTCAGGGGTACCGGGGCGTGGCATGTGGGGCATTGGCATCTAATGACCATCATATAATCACATATATATATATATATCTTGTTACAACAGTGTTTTTTTATTCTGATTATTGTTTTTGTGGGGAAAGGTTGCCAGCCAATGTGAGCTTACCATGGGCGTCTTCAGAAGCACGACTCAGGGGGTTGGTTATGACCGATTTGCAACTCATAAGCACCAAAGCTTACCATCATGGTGGCACTCAAGCATTGGTACCTACACCCATCACAGAAATGCCAAGTGGAAAAACACAATTGTTGATTGGCATGTGGGTAAGTGGGTGTAGTACGCAACACTTTGGTATTGTGAGACGCGCTGATCCACTAGGCAACAATCAAAGTGCCTGGTACTTGGATCACAAGTGTTGCTAGGTTCTGCCAACAGTGGGGTTGGACCAAGGCACATCATGATGGCGCTCATTAAACGACAGTGTGGCCCGAAAGCACAGTAGGAGTACGACAGGTTTGACGGCTATTGAAAGATGCCAAAACGTAAGAGAAATGAATCCTAGATATCTGCAAACTCTGATTGACGCAGCTCCACCTTCACTGAGTGCTGTTTCAATACATGATGACAATGATGGTGACAATGATGGTGAAGGTGATGTCCGCCACCAATCATCACGCTCACCAGCGACATGCCGCAAGTCACACACGCATGTTTCCATCCCCTTCCCCAACGGCACGGAGCCACGCTGACACGCCGCCAAGCCGTTACTGGGCGACGCTTGGCCGACACGCTGGGGTTCCTTTCCTTTCGCCAATACTGAGCTCTAGTGAGACTCTTGGTAAAGCATGCACACCCACAACCTCTCAGCCATGGTAGTCCGGTTGGACATGAGAGGGCTCTTCAACATCAGTCACATCATGCAACTGGACGAGCTCTGTAGGTAAACCCTTACGTGAGGTTGCTCGGGCTGAGTCTATGCACAAAACCATGAAAAGGCTTCGGCTAATGCCGCGTTTAACGCGACAGGGTAGATCTTAGCCTTACACTTTCCTGCCAGGCCTACATGCGCGCCCGGCCCGTGTGGGCATCTGCCTCTCAGTCCTGCTTGTAACGCCATCTCACGAAAGTCTTCTAGTCGGACCAGTAGCAACGTAGTCGGCTTAATGCCCGCCGCACCGAAGACACACTGGTCAAAGGAAACCACAGATACCGCATCAGCAGCTGCAATTTCTTGCATCTCCTGGAGACGCCAGATGGATGGGCATGGCGTCCCATACATCCAGGTAGCAGTCTGTGGATGTTCAATGAAGCCGCACCCACCATGCGCCATCACCAACAAAAGAAGCTCCATGGCCACTTCCAGCAAGCCGGTGCCAACGCTGACCTGCATGTGTTGCTTGCGAGTCAGGTGCTTCAGGCCCCATGGTGACTGTCTGTCTCGAAGGGGTGGGGGGTGAAAGAGTGACTAGGGCGTACACGGTTGAGGTGCAGACCGCTAGTGTCTTTTATACGCAGAGTCTTATCCTCTTGAGCCTTATGGCAGTCAAGCATGGACACACTAGATAGGCCACTGGAGTGGAACCTGTACAAGTAGGCCTCTACATTTCAGCAGGCACAAAATTCATGTCCACTCCAGCCTATTGCGTATGTCGCACACTATTTTTCTACCGCAAGGCTAAAACAGTCCAGCAAGCTCTAGTAAGCTTAAAAAGGAAACTACGGTGCCCTGTACTTACCAATTCCAGTGTTTTGCACACTATAGAAAAGGTAATCTCAAGGTATACTAGATACAGTGAGGGAGCGATAGCTTACTCACCTCAAATACAAGGTCAAAGACAATGTATCTCGGCTGGAGACTGTATCGTTCACCGGCGAAGATACCGTGTACCGGCGCTCAATAGCCCTTAAATAGCCAGAGCTAAAGAAAGAAAAAGGGGAAAGCGGCTTCTTTTACACAGAGACCTATAAAAGCAGTAAACGACACTCGCGTAACGAAAGAACTAAAATTTCAAGACCGCACAAAATGCAATGAATTACGATGCCTTGCAAAATGCAAGGAGCGTGCATTCGGTCCGAGGAATTGTCTTCTCGAAAAGTGGTCTCGGCCGCTTCCATACACAGGAATGCATCAAAAGGACTCTCTCACATTGACATCAAAAATCAGACAAAAACAAAAAGGAAGGAGATACCGGCAAATGTATGTACAAAAATCTTGCACTACAATTGCAACTTCATGAAAAGACTTAATCATCAACCATGAATGGTTGTCCATTAGAGGTCATTTCAAAAGAGCAGCTGTGGTAGATATCATCAGTTCTGTTAAACTGTCCATACCTACCTGCAGATAATATTCGTTCAGTAAAACTGTATTTATCTGCATGCTAAAGCTTATAAACCTGGAATGCAGGAGTATCTTCTTTGATAAAAAGTTTCTCCTTGTTGCAAACCAGAGTCCATTAAAACTTCAGTCTGGCAACTTAAAGTCAAGCCTGGAAGCAAAGTATCAACTGTAACCAGAAGTATCTTCACTTCCCAGCCATGATTTAAAATTTAGCCTCTGCTCTGAATTTCTGCCGCTGCAGTCGATGGAGCTGCTTGATCAGAAGTTGGCGGCCTTCCTTTTCTTTTATTCGCTTTCTGTCTCTCCTTCCTCCGCAAGTTAGCCTCTCGAAGAGTCTCGCCCAAGCGATAGAGCCTTCTGTCTCCAGATGAAAAGGAAGCTGGTCTGAGTGAAATAAACATTGGACCATGACTGTCATCGTCAGTGGGTCTTGAGCACATAACCTCCGTGTCAATCATAGCAAAGTTCTCTGAAAAATTACAGACGAACTCCTTCGTGCTCACTGTGGAATTTGTATATTCCTCTTCACTCATTGAATGACCCCATTCAACAATGGTAGACAAACATGTATCGCCAAGCTTTGATCCCTGGTACACTTCTTTTTCTTCTGTAGAATATTCCTTCCAGAGTTTCTCAAAGTAAACTTCACACTGCTTGAGGACACGTGAAGATGAACTGTAAAACGTTCTGGGAATAGGTGCTTTGATACCAGGATCTGCTCTTACACGGGCTTCTGAAAACCTGCGGATCCAATGCTGCGTGGTGCTGTAATAATAGTTAGCCATTGGCTGCCTTTTGTACCCAGACATTCTGTAGGCCAAACTATTTGCATCACCAGAAATGATGTCCACCTCATATACAAAACATTCATAAAGCATCAATGCTGTCTGTTCTCCTGTCAATAGGTGGGCATCCACAGCACGGTGTGTATCAACATGATAATTACAGACTCTGATGGTATGCATGTTTGCTCGAGTAAGTGGAACACGCTGGTCCTCAGGACCATAGTCCTCAAATTCAAAGTCTGCATCCTTGAAATCTTGACGAGGCCTTGTTTCTCCAAAACAAATCTCGTAGATAGCCCAAGTTACATCACGCTGTTGACAGTGACCAAGGTCTTGGTCATGTCCAGCAATGATCTTGACATATCCACCTGGTGCCAATCTAGCCATCACTGCAAGATTCTCCCAATCATTGAAACAAACTGTCCAATTCTTTTGCTCAATAAAATCCTTGGCAGGAACAAGGAGATGAGCTTCCTGGAGAATCACGACATGTGCACGTAAGAAGAAGAGCATGTTGAAGAAAAGGTTGTTTTCAAATTGCTCATATTGAAGTGACATGTCACTCTGCTTGCGTGGCTTCATTGCACGATCAAGTCCTTGGAGAAACTTTGGTGTGGTGTATTTCTGACCACGAACCATGTTGCCATAGTTCCAGGATAAAAAGGTCAAGGACTCTGAGCTGGCCAATAAGTTAGTTCCATATTGTTCTTCTATTCTTCCTTTGAGGAACCTTTTGCACAGCTCTTCATAGAAGGCGACATAGTCCCAACTGGGTCCCTTGGGACCAAATGCTTCCAGTTCTTCTCTAAACTGTTCCTTTGTAACCTCCAAATCTGCCCGAGCTTGTTCTGCCCTTTCAAGGGCCCTTGGATCGACCTGATACTTGTCATCCAAATAAATGATGCGGTCATCATTGATGAAAAATCTCTTCAAATCATGCTCTGGGCTGTCCTCATAACAATCAGGTGGAGGTACTAGACAGACCTTTCGAATGGATCGAACAAAGTCGTCCTCGTTGATCATTGACTGATAGTGAGGATGGGAAATCTCACCTTTTCTGAAACAAACATGGTTCAACAATCTTGCGTGAGTTTCCCTGAAGCATTGTTGATAAAAGCCAATACCTGGATCTCCTGTAAGCTCTCCAAGTAACCTCAAAGGTGATGTATGCAACTCATAGGTATTGTTAACATCCACCTTATCTGTATCAACAACTACTTCAGATGGGAAAGATTCTTGGATTTCAGCCTCCAATTTCTTCTCTCCATCATCCTCTCTGACCTCTTTTATCTTCTCCACCGCCTTTTTCTTCTCCTCAATGGTTGCATCATCCTGAACTTCTTCATGAAAATGAGGATCAGGAATTTTATTTAGGCGGCTTTCCTTAGATTTCCGCAGACCTGAAGTATCATCAAGGTTAGCATCCTTCTCACCTGATGGTAAGTACGATGCAGCTGAGTCCTCACCTATCTCTCTTGACAGAAAGTATGATGCTGACTCATCCTTGGCTTCCTCCTGGTCCACTTCCATCTTCATGTCCTCTGAAGGAAAAACACCTGCATTCTCATCAAAAACTTCTTCATCTTTTGCGAGTTCAACTGCAGGATCTTCTTCAGGGACTTCCTCTTCCATATCTTCACCTTTCATAATCTCCATAATACCAGTATAGATCTCCCCAGTGATAGTGGAGACTCTTGTGTAAGGAGGAACTTGTTCACCTGCCTCAAAGGCTTGTTCTGCGACATCCTTGGTGAGCAAGTCCTCCGCAAGATTTTCTCCCATGGTTCTTGGAAGAGATTCTGAGGTCTC